TTGATAAATAGTATAGTAAATCAGGATCTACCTGCAAACACTTCCATTGTAAATCATAGCTTCTTCACAAATGCAAAACTTGAATCCTTGTTTATAGTAGTTAGTAGGTAATAAGACTGACATTCCTTCAGGGTCCAATTATCAAAGAATTAACATAAAAATTGTCATAAATCTATATATGTATGTTAATTTTGTTCAGTGTATCAAAGTCATTATTCTGTATGAGTTCTTTTATTTTTCGTGCTTATTATGGCTCGCATAATTTATTCAGTCGTATGTTTTCTACTATAAGGTCACTATTAATAAAGTAAATACACAATAGATTATATTAAATTAACACACTACTTTTTATGCATATATTATTTATCAAGTTAGTGTACACAACTTCTTTGTTTACGTATTTCATTGTCTTGTAATTTGAATATTCTGCATTAATTCCTTTAAATGTAAACGCCTTCTTTCGAAGAAAATTCATTTGCATACATTTATTATTAGCCCCCAAATGCTCTGGTATGGCCGAGAGTGGGGAGAGTCCGCTCTCCCTCTCGAAATGCTCTCACACGGCCACGCGTATATAGCCTCTGCCAGGGAAGTCCTACTCACTGCCTTCTCGTGGCGGGGGTGTTGTTTACGAAAATGAGAGGACGAAAAGCGAATGTCCGGCGCTTTAACCGGATCCCAAATCAATGGTGCACATGGGCTTCAGTATCCTGCGAGAACAAATGGAGTATGAACCAATCGTGGTCACCGTCTACCATGGGAATGAATCTCTTTACCATGCTCCACTGCCTTGTGGGTTAGACCTTTAGGTCAAAGGCTCGGGGTGTGGCCCCTAAGATAACCACCTGGTTCGGTCTGGGCACCCGGGCAGTATCACAGCCCACACGCAAATGATGAACTCTCTATATCTATGGAAACTACATTTCTCGCTCCGAATAACAGTCAAATGATCCAAATTATTATTATTATTATTATTATTATTATTATTATTATTATTATTATTATTATTGTTATTATTATTATTATTATTATTATTATTATTATTATTATTATTATTATTATTATTTACTACATCATTATTCACCCTCTTTTATTCCTACTCTGTCTATACTTATTTCTTCGGTTTATACAGCAGCTCACCTATGGTGGAAATTCGGCTCTATCTAAACGCTCTCGAGTCACTGACTGGTTGAAAATTGTATGTTACCACCAAATACGAATAGTGAAGCAGTTTTTCTGAAACCACGTGCACCATTCAAACTGGCTGCCTTCAACGTTCGCACACTTATGCAGGTCGGACAACAGATAGGGCTGGCTATGTCTTTGGAAAGTCTTAATATCGTTGTTTGTTGTCTGTCCGAGAACCGTATTCAAGACTCTGGTGAAGTACTACAAAATCGCTCTCCATCTGTCGCTTCGAAAAGCTTGTTTTACGCGCATTTATCCGGGGACCCAGTGACATCTTCGTTTGGTCTTGCTGGCGTTGGTGTCGCACTAAGCGCTAGAGCTGAGGTAGCACTAATCGACTGGATCCCCATTAAAAGTCGGTTATGTGCTGTTAGATTAGAAAGTTCCATCAAAGTGAGAAGAAATCGGCGTGAAAAACGATATCTTTTCGTCATCTCCGCCTATGCCCCGACAGATTGCAGCCCGGATGCAATCAAGGATGAATTATACTACCAGTTAACTGTTCTTCTCCAGAAAGTGCGTTCGACAGATATTGTAGTACTAGCCGGAGACTTGAATGCTCAGGTCGGGCGTCTAGGCACAGAAGAGAGTCGTTTAGGTGGCCGATGGGGACACGTTGGTCGCAGGTCAGATAACGGGGACCGTCTACTGCAACTGTGCACAGACCACAACCTGTTTCTGGCTAGCACTAACTTTCGGCACAGTCATCGCCGATGTGCCACCTGGCGTCCTCCCTCTGCATCTCAAGCCTGGACTCAGATTGATCACATCGCGATCAGCTACCGCTGGCGTGGTTGTGTACAAGACTGCCGCTCCTTTTGGAGTACCTATCTGGACTCTGACCATGCCTTGGTCTGCGCCAATCTTACCTTACTTTTCAGTGGCCAACGAAGTGACCGCCATCAACGGATTGATGTTAGCAAGCTGGTTGCAACTTCTGTTGCAAGTAAGTATCGAACCGAGCTAGCCTCTAGGCTAGCTACCACTCCACCGAAAAGTATAGATGAGCATTGGTTGCAATTGCATGACGCCATGAAAATGGCGAGTAAAGCCGCTTGTGGGTTTGCGAAACGTCCCGCTTATAAGCACTGGGTTTTTTCTGGTTCCTTACAACTCATTGAAGCCCGTCGGTCTACTCCGGGTGACCGTGAGTTTGACCACAAACGAAGGATGTTACGTAAGGACATTGGGCAAAGCTTGCGTAAGGACCGAGAAGCCTGGTGGTCGGAGCGTGCTAATGAGCTGGAAGCAGCAGCTGCATCTGGTAACTACCGGAAGCTCTTCCAACTCATCCGAGCCACTGGCAGCAAGAAGTCTGGTGTGAGCGAAACAATCTGCGAGGATGATGGGATGCCAATCACTAACATCCATCGACGTCTTGGACGATGGGCAGAATTTTTCGAAGGGCAGTTCAACTGGCCTGCTGCTCCGGCAACATCGGTCAGACTGTCCTGCCCTCCATGGCCGGTGACGATTGATCCACCAAATGAGGCGGAAGTCCGCAAGGAACTCCAACTCTTGAAGCGTTACAAATCACCTGGCCCAGATGACTCACCTCCGGCTCTTTTTAAAGATGGTAGTGACTTTCTGGTTCAGAAACTGACTGTGCTGTTTGCAACGAGCAGTTCTGCTCTATGTCTGTGAAACCTGGCCTTTCCGAGTTGAGGACGTTAGACGACTCTCTGTTTTCGATCATCGTTGTCTCCGAAGGATTGCTGACATCCAGTGGCAACACCATGTCAGTAATGCAGAGGTTCGGCATCGTGTGTTCGGGCACAGAGATGATAATGCAACCGATGTCACCATCTTGAAACACCAACTTCGGTGGCTTGGACATGTTCTCCGAATGTCGTCCCAGAGAATTCCACGTCTTGCATTATTTGCCGACTCTGGGACTGGTTGGAAGAGCGGAGAGGTGGTCAGTATATGACATGGTGTCGTGGATGAAAGAAAGCTGCAAAGGACTGGCTTCTGTTGTTTGTTCACGACTTCCTGGTTGGGGTCCGAGAGATGGTGCGACACAGTGGGTAGAGACATGATAAGATATGGCTCAGAATAGAAGCCAGTGGAGATCCTGCTGTAACCTTCTTTTACTTTCTTCATAAAAAGTGGTTGTGTCTCCCTTATCTGAAAGATTTCTTGATTGTACCTGTCTGTTCCGCCATTTTTACCATTATTATTACACCACCTCACATCAATCTCTTCGTTATTATTCTCTTTTTTCCTTCCCCTTAAATTCTCATTGTTTTGTGTGGCGCATTCTTGTACCAATATTTATGTGTTCAAACAAATAAATAAATAAAACTATGGGACTGCATCTCTTTATATTACTCCACTGCCTTGTGGACTAGACCTTCAGGTCGAAGGCTCGAGGTGTGGCCTCTTAAGAAAACGACCTGCTTCGGTTTGGGCACCGGTTAGGATCCCAGCACTCACATAAATCGAATAATTTATGTGGCGTATATTTGTTTCCTCCTTGTACCAATGTTTATATGTTTAAATAAATAATAAATAACTTTAAAATATAAAAATACACTATGAGTTTATGTGGCAAACTTATTTAATAATCCAATCGCTTGAAAATTATATGTTAGATCGCTTTAAAAAATATTAAGACAATCCGACTATTATGTGTCTTTTAATATAACTGACAAAGGGTGATTATATCCGTAATCAACTATAAATGGGATTATCCAACAGAAATAAACTAATTTAAGCAAAATAAAATAATAAAAGTAATGACGTCAACGTGAGTACAATACTGAATAAAGAACGTATCAAAATGGAGGACGATGGGAATAGGGTTACGATTTATTGAACTCTCTAAGGAGTATAAAAAACAGACACATTTACATAAACATGGCATATCACCGTTAGTTTTCAACCAACTACAACGCCTACCTCTCCAAAGTGACTCAAATCGACAGTTTTTAATTTGATAGACATACCACAAATAGATCTACTGTTGTCTTCTAACCTACTTCTGCTACTGGCCAGCAAAATATTTCACTGTAGGTTTTGATTAGACATTCTGGCACATGTGCCAAGTAATGAGTGTTCATTATCTCGTTAACCGGTTTTCCAATATCCCTATACTCTAGGTACGATAACATTTATCACTTCGTAACTCACTCTCGACTTGTGCTTAAAAAACTTTTGTAATTAAACACTTCTGAAAAATGTTTGTGTTTTTTATAGAGTACGTTCCATACTCATCTATGAATATTAAGCGGATATCTCGGTTAATTCAATGTTTGGATAAGTTGGCAATACAAAATGAAGCTTCTTAAAATTATTCATCTTAACTAGTAAGACTATTATGATAAGCAAGGTGATCACTGTAACCATTTCCATATTTTCCTCATACTGAGCTGCAAAGATTTAGGTAAAGATACCAAACACCTTAATACTTGGCTGCTGTTCTTAGTCTACACTTTACTTACTTTCTCTTTGTCAGTTATATAGTATTAGTAGGCCTCATATCAAATGTGTCTCAAGTGTATTGCGTGACATTAGCACTGTAGATCATGTCTAATACTGTTTATTTTTGTTCACTAATAAACCATAAACAGCATTGTGATGATATTTGTCACCTTGTTATTTGTGACTTTATTTTAAGTTAACTGGTGCCTTTAGTTAATTGGAATTTACTTCTCACAAGTAATTTGTAATTTTGGTTATTAGAACTATAACCATGGAATCTAAACACATTCTAATTATTATATTTATCTTCTGAGTTTCCATAAAGTTTGTCGTTTCTTATTATTTACTGACTTCATTGTGATCATTTAAAACGTTATTTATTTTTAAAGTTTTCCAAGTGTTTTACACAACTCTATTTGGAACGTATTCTGGATTTTTGATGCTAAGAACTGGTAAGTTTGTGTATTTTTAGTTGTACAGCATACACTTTTTATATTCGTGAAGTTATTTTTAAAATTGAAAACTGTAATATTAATAGTAGGCCTAGATATTACGTCACTGTAAGCAATCTGTAATTAACGAAAAATACAGTCGACGATACAGCTGAGATGTATATTGGTAAAATATAATCCCTTAATAACTTTGCTTTTCTTTGCAATCGGATGGTATTTCATTGTTTGTACGTTATTGCGTGGTTTCACCATTCAGTAACGTTACTAACGTATGTATGCGGCTCTTTGAACAGCTTTTTAAAGCTGAGCTACATGTCAAGGTTATGGTAGTGTCTATTAAGGAAGATAAGCGTGAAAATTGTGTTTAGTAGACGCTTGGTTAATCCGTTTCCTGTGTTAAAATTCGAAATCACAATGAAATAACAAAATTGTAAAAATTAACCAGTAAGCATCGTCATTTTTTGAAGAATCCTCTCATACAGTTTATCAGTCTCACTGAAGTTATAGTGATCTAGCATTGTGAGTGACATTTGGAAGCTTATTCATAATCCAAATCATGATAAATATACATAAAACATCTTTCCATTTGTTGCAATAGATTAATTCAATGTAAAATTTGAGCTAAAAACTATTAATATTTTCTTTTCATGGTCATTTCTATGTCCATTATAATTTTATGATATTTGAAATAAATCTAGATCTATTCAGTTTTACGAAATTTTTTATGAAGCGTTATGGTACTTTAAGCAATTATTGTAAGTTATACAATACATTTTTACACATTCTGTATCTGAACTGGTTAAAAAATGTATTCAGTCAAGTGCAAAGCTTGTATAAAGCGGACAAGACTGAACTGGTATTAATCGTTGCTCAAGGTTGTCTGTCGGATAATGGTTATTAAATAAAGTTTGGATGGAATTTGTTGTGTTTACAAAATTCTGTCTTTGTACTACATGATTTTAAAAGTAGTGAGACAGTTGATAAGGTTGATTCCGGTCTGTGCGCTGCATTAAGAAGGATTTATCCAGTCTCTGAACTGGTATCATTGAGACATTAGAAAATTGTGAAATACTTACGTAACGTTACTTCTGATTTCTCTTACCAGTTTAAAGTGCGTGGCGAATCCCATACATTAGATGAACAGAAATGAGAGTTCTCGATGTCATCTCCAGTCATGTTCTTCACAAATTAGGACTAAGAGTTCAACATTACTTTCAACTGTGTACCCACCCGTCATCTACTTGATAGCGAACACGACTTTGGAATTTCACGATCGTTCTGAAATGTTAGTAACCTTATGACTTCGGACTTATTACGTTTTAATCAAGCCATCACTTTCAGACGACTCAATTCGGATTTATGCTTTCAAAAATTTACTGTTCTCAGTCTTACAATATCCTAGTGTATTCAGTTCCCAATACTTAGTTGCGTGACGTATCCCTTTATGTTTGCAATTATAAATTAATTTTCTTTACCCCTTCTTGTATGTTACACGAGCTTTACTCATTTTAATCCCATAATCAATTCATGTTTGTAGTTTTTATTATGTAACTTTGAAATTTTCAGTAGCTTGTCTCCAGGAGTTTTAAAATTTTCGCTTTGATTTCACACTTTATCTAACATAGAAATTTTCAACCACATGAACGTCTCTTATAATTTTTTCATACTTATTGCTACTTTTACCAATTACTGTTGATGAAAACTTAACTAAAATCATGATATAAAGTATATACAACGTTTTCTAAATACTTAATACTATCTTTTCTAGGTTCTAAGCAATAGAAGAGAATTCACGAAATAAATCAATTCATGTTATTCCACTATGATCTTTGTTCTGGCTTTATTCAAATTTAGAAATAGGAAATATTTTATGAAATAGCACTTTTACTACCAACTGTGCTGACATCGTCTCTAAATCCAGATTCATTCTGAACAATTCTATGTTTAGTCACCTCGCGATCTATTATTTAGTGTAATTATTGTTGACATAAATACGATGTACGACAATCCGTTTGGGTTTGAACTAGTGATTTAGGCACTCAACATTTGACTAATAGATTTCAAGACTCCAACCACAATTCAGCTAGTTGTGTTTGATCAACTGATTAGTGCGGTTTGCAGTAAAAGGCATAGAATTATTTTTGTTATTTGAATTGTATTAAGATCAAATTTAATCGGAAACTTCAGTCAAATATTTTATCATGCTACAGAACAAGGGTTATGTTGAGTAATAAGATCACTATCATTATTAGGATTTGTGTATTAACAGTTGAATTCACAAGTCAATCTATGCCAGACCGCCATTGAAAACCTGGACGCGTGCGGGACTGTGGATGTGCACTACTGAGGAGTCACATACTAGGACGAAACGGCCGTCGAGTACTTCCAAGTTTTAAATGGTGTTCTAGCTTAGATTGATTCGTGAATTTAACTGCTAAAATTAGATCGCTGTGTTATGGATGCAGAATAATATACTAATCATTAACATGTTAAGTCTAATGATGTCCTTGGACCTTAAATGGACATTCCCTATTGGCCATTATTTATTTCACTCGTTAAATATTGTACAGATGTTGTTTTCTATTTTTATGGTAAGGTGTGGTCTGTTTGGTTAGTATATAAACAGAGTATGTTTGAAATATCACGATTCATAACTCAGAGGCTGTGACTTGCGTTCTAGACTCAACTGGCTGGGCTAGACAGGGGAGCGGGACTCTAGGTCGTCCTTACGTGTTTTACGTGTCACTGGATCGATCGATAATACACTGCGCATCTAACCTGCAGTCCACCCGTTACAACAGCTGTTTGTTTTTATGGTTACACACACCATATGATCTGACTTATGTTGAAAATTGATCTAATCACACATTTGTGTATCGGATTTGAAATTCTAAATGGTTTACACTAAACAGCATTTGGTTTCATAATTCTTCAACTGTGATTCTTACAGAAATATTTAACATGGTTACTGTTTAAATACAGCTTACAAATTTTGATTTCGTTTTGTTATATAAATGTATGATCGAATTGTGCATCCAATAAATTCCTAACTGCATAAGATAGTATAACATCGTAAAAATTGACTATTTTATGTCTAGTGGAGATCAGTCGCGAACTAAATTAGTAGTGTAACTACGGGTGACTTATTTTGTTCATAATTGGTCTGTAGATATAGCGCTATTGATTTTGTTTATGTTAATCTGTTTTGTCCTGTAATACCGATTTCAACAACAATATTGGTCAACTCTAAGCAGATGGTAAGACATCTATATTCAAAAAACCAACAAATTGGTCATAACATTGTATATGAATCTTTTCTTGCTGATATCTGTTTTTGTACACTGTCCTATAAAATATTTGTTTTCGTTTAAGCACTTAATTCCTGTGTACTTTGTATACATTGTAAAGATTATTACAAAATAAGCCAAATATGTAACCTTTTTAAATCAGTTATAAGTGTGTTTTGAACTTAACCACATTACGTGAATATTATTTGATGAAAGGAATTAGATTTATTTTATTTATTTGGGTACGTCTTTAGAGTCTTATAAATGGTATGTTTTTTTCTTCTGATATTGTTACTGCATCTGTCTACTGGATAATTTAACTTCAAAACTTTAACTAGTGTTCTGTACCTTAGGAACCTTTGCACCATCGGAAGCGTCCGACTGAACAACAAATCTTTCTCATGAATTCAGTATTTCTTTTAGTAATTTCTCCATCTATTTTATTAAGAAAAATGAATTGCGATATATCTTGTACTTTCCAAATAATGAGGTTTCTTTTGTTGATTAATTCATTATAATTTGTCATTCGACATGATAGTAGATCGTTACATGTAGTTTTGCTACTTCCTTTCTGTTGATTTTTTTTAAAAGATGCATTCTACAATAATTCATCACTTAGGACGTTGGTATAAATCTTAATATGATTCGCATAAGAACTACACTGTTTCTGAAGCAGTCAGGAATTGTCGAGTATGTGTCTTATTTAGCAGTTTACTTACCAGCTTATTTTTCCATAGTACCACTATTAAAATGAACAGAAATGTTTTAATAGATGTATTCTCTGGAAACTTGTAGATCATTACTTGACATATTCTAGTGTATACATATAATGTGCTCAGTTGTAAAAGATAATATACTCTAGTGAAAACTCAGATGTAACTGGTAAGTTTGTTACAATGTTCTGAATGAGTGTTAGTTTTGTATATGTTATGTCTATATTTAAATATAAAATTGTTTGTTCCACTTGTAGAAAAATTTCCTTAATGTCCTGTAGCTATGTCGCAAGTATATGTGATAGCATGAAATACCTACCTATCTATGTTTTGTCAATCTTAGTAAAAATTTAATTTACTAGCTACTTTTTCAACACACATTTCATCATATTTTGTTTACTGTATAGGTAATATTGCTTCAAGTATTGTTACACACTCCTTGTGCAACTTCTTCGGCTTACCAGATTTAATAGGTGCCGTCGAAAGAGCTAAGTATCGTTGGGGTGTCTCTGGTCAAATTTTCGCTATTGGATCTCATCTTTTGGGGTTACTTTTATGGGCATATTTGTTATATCAAATAACTGAAACAAAATGGTCCTCATCAAACAACTGTCATTGTGATTGGTATTGAGTTTTCATGCCCATATGAATTATTATTTTTGGTGTTAATAGGACTGTTAAAATAATTAGATCTTCGTTTCAATTAGACTGAAAATTCTTATCTGATATACAAATATTAACCATTTCTTTAATCCCGGTAAACAACAAATTTCAGTTCATCGAAGGTACAAAAGTAGTAGGAATTAAAACAGATTTCACACGAATTTCAAGGCTTCACCTCATATTCGGAATTGTAATTAGATTTTGTGCTGTTAAGTATGTACTTGTACGTCATTAGTTTGTTTGTGTTTTTTACATTGTAAATGTGTACCCTACTAAAATCTGTCATAATTATCAAAATTTTCTGGTTTTCCTGTTTTGCGGTAGACGATCTATTATGTATATTTTAACAATATGTAGATTAATTACTCGTATATTAATTACTGTTTGTGTCTTATAGACCACTTAGCTGGATTCTTCATGTGCTACATAGACATATGCTCAGCTGAGTGAATTTCAGTAATTTCATGCTGTCATTGAGATACCACCTTACTAATTTAGTCCTCCGTTGTTCGACCGCATGCAATGGAGAGCTGGGAAGCTAGGTTGAGAGGCTTTCGTATCATACGACTTTCATGTATGTGTAAACTGAGTACTTAGAAATATTTATGCTCGTATATCCTGGGACCATCGAGTAAGTAATACAGTTGTTAGGAAATGGGTACTAGGTAAGGATGGCAAATCAATTGATGACGTGGTGGAACTTCATCAGTTGAGATGGCTGGGACATGTGTTACGTATGCCCAACCACCGACTGCCTCGATGCGCGATGTTTTGTTGTATAGGAGTAGATTGGAAGAAAGCTAGGGGCGGCCAGATCAAAATATGGCACAAGTCCATGAAGTCACTGACAAGTAGACTGAGTCATATTGGTAGGTGTAGACTACCTGGTTGGGGACCGCGAGATGATAGCAACCGATGGTTAGAGACCCTTAATGACATGGCTCAAAATCGTTTGCAATGGCGCAGGTGCATCCACTCTTTGTGTCCTTCCAAATTCCAACCTGAATCCTTCATATCCTTTTCGTTTTTCTCTCTCCAAATTTATTTCACTGTATTATACTCCTTGAATAACATCTTCAAACCCTAATTTTTCTGATTACAGCTTATAATTTTACCACATCTAGCACTACGGGATTTGAATCGAATACTGCATCTCTGTGCTAATGTGGTGTGGCAACTCGAACTGATGTACGTACATACGAAGTTCTACGTTGTTACTGTCTGACTGACTTTATGGACACATTCAGTTCAATTCATTTTTCATAAACATCAGGTTCCTTTGGAGCTTTTACGCTTATTCGGGGGTCTTTTTTAGTTTGGTCTCTCTGTTTCTGGAAAAATCTTGTGATTGAAACAAGTAAGGATGCTTAAACACTTCATTCCTCTGAACAATAATCTGAACCCACAATTTTGTATTTTAACGGTTTTGTTGTCATCAAATACTACTGCAGTTTCGCTGTTGAATTTCAGATAATTCTGGGTGTTTACATCAGATTTGATGCAGGTGTATGTAATTCTAGAGTCTCCATAACCAATCTTGATCTATATGTTATACTTTCTGCATTTTCTCCGCAAAATGTTTCCGTACATGATGTGCATCATGTGAGTTAGTAATAATCCACTTGATCTGAAGTGACTACAAACGTTTGTGGCTGTATATAATTTAAAATTATTAGTTAATGATTAATTTCGGGAACCCGCATACTGGTTTCTCCACAAATGCAACTCAGATTAATCAGCTTACTTGTAAATTAGAGAGCTCTGCATCACAATTGCGTCTATCTACTTACAGAAAATATTTAGAGTCGTGACAATTTAAGTTTTGACCACTTATATTCTCCGCTCTTATAAAACTTCTAGGTTGAATGTATGTATCTGTTATGCTCGTTAAGATTGAATGGTACTACTGATTCATCTTATTCGGAACGGAACGAAGAATCAAGCAACCAGATACCCGATAGGCTATACTGGTCGGTTGTTCCCGACTCAGCTTACTCGGTCCAGAAGTCTTGGTAAGATGTAGAAAGTGTATTCTACAGGCAACCACAAATACTAGGTCCATCAAGCACACAAACCAAGCGTAATTAAACAAAATATATATAATCGGTAATGCCATGGAAGTTTTTAAACATTTAATCGATAAGTTCGTCGATCGACTATGTTCGTGGGTGGTAAGAAATACCCAAGCATACTTCTGCGTACATGCTCCACAAAGATAAAACTACAAAGTATGAGTTTTTGGGGTCTAACGCCCCCGACAGTATTGCAGTACCTTGATGCATCAACGCTTTTGCTTTTGCAATCTTCATATTGTTAGCCGAAACTGCATATTTTGAATAAGTTTTCGAACATAACAGCGGGTGAATTTACATTTAGTATACTCGGATTCCAACGCTTTGAGATGTCGCACCAGATTCCGAATCGATCCTTCCAAAGCCGTGTGATCACGTCATCTAACAAGGTGGACTTGTGTGTAACTGCGACTGTTGTAATCCACACGGTTACGATGTCTAGAAGCAGTATGTTTTCCGGTATCAACAAGCCAATGGTAAGGTTTGAAATGACCATGTCTTAGAATCCTTGACCTGTTCAATTTGTTGAAACTCACGAGGTGTCTAGGTTCACTTAAACTACTTCTGGGAGTGAATATATACTAATACAGTCTACATAATGACCCATTGTACGACAGGACTTTAACTGACTGATAAAGCTTGAGTAGATCTCCAAACGGTCACGGTGTAAAAAGTCTTCTTTCCTGTTCATGTAGGGACTGGGCACTAGTTCTTCCCATTGGCAATTAACAAACTATCTGACCGTCCTCCTTGAATGGGGACCCAGATATCTCTGTGTGCCCCGACTATGAAGTTTCTGAGTTCTAACTGGTCCTGTCTCAGTACTAGTAATACTACATGCTTGACAGACTAGAGTGTTACCTATACTATCAAGCTATATATGTGTATCTACACCTCTTAGAAAATCAACCCATTTCTTTAACCAGAGGTAAGCAGAAATATATGTGTTGCGTCTAAATGCTAAATTAGTATGTGTGACAGATATCGAAGCCTAAACAGCACTCCTACCGAAAGGCTACTTGTTAGTTTTCCTTTTTAGATGTTTAATTTTTTCGTAGTATTAACGTTATATTTGGATTTTATTAGACACCACAATGGATTTTATACCAGTTTCCGAGTTACTTAAGAGTATATGACACATATAACAATAAAAAGTGCAACATAAACAACCGCTTAAACGCCATCAGGTGAACTGCTTTGGTAATTAAAGTACATCAACATTCACAGTCTAAGTGAATTGGTCAAACCATTAGGTTCTTCTGTGCATGGTATGAGATGTTTAGTCACCTACAGTTAACCGCTATGTCCCAAGATCGGCAACCCATTAGTTGGTAAACTAATCTTGATGGTAGTATACTATAGTCTTAAGTCATATCGAGAACTACAATACATTTCATCAGTAACCATAAAAAAAGATGCAAACTTAGAGCCGTTATATGACAACATTATTATCGTATGATGATGACAATTGAGTATATATATCAAATATTATTTCGTACATAATCACAAACTTGGTTTGTGTTTTTGTATCACGAACTAAAATAATTTGATACAATGTAGTGGTTTTGTTTCGTTAACCGATCACCCTCGTAACCGATATTATATAAACATCAACGATGTTTGAAATCAAAAGGCAAAGAGAAGCGGAAACTACAGTTTATTAGCGGATAGCGCATATCGCAAAGCTATAAGCACATCAAGCGAATCTTTAGCAGATAGGTGAATATGTATATGCGAGCACCTACATATGCAAATTTATAGTCAAATTTCATAAGAGCACAGCAAGGCGAAGCACGTGCTAGTAATGTGATCCGCGTACATATTTTCTTGTGGGAGTACAACGAATCACCGAGTGATATTTTTGCGATCGAAATTTTAGCTACAGATCGTCACAATCTCTAGCGATCGTAAAAGCGCAAAGAATTATTCGAATTTTTACTGTCTAAATAAAATTGTCTGTTGAGTCAAAAAAAGGTCTTGAACAAAATTAACCATAACAGTTATTGGTTATATGATAGTTGATATAACCAGAATGATTATTTGATATGGGTTTTATTTGGAGTCATGAACCGACCAATGTTATAACAACGTTGAAAAACTTGGAGCACTGGACGTCCGTCTCACCATAGGATGATACTCTATAGAAGTAGGTAGTTATGAACCTGGACACGAAACTCGAACTCAGGAAGTCCCATCTCACGCGAACGACTTACATATGGACCACTGAGGTGCTTTCCTGTAGCGTTAGTGTGTTACTTCAATCAATTTACAATATCGCGCGGTTATGTTCTCTTGTATTCATTGGGTAACTACAACACAAATTATGCGCTTTGAATCCTTTTTATACACATATAATTTACACATCCGTAACACGAACAGCAGCGATCGAAGATGACGTATGTGCAATGGATTTTGATAAAAGGTTACGCAGTATGTATTTTATGAGGGAAAATTACGTGACATTTGTTGAAGAGAGTAAATGATAAGCCAGTATAAATACATAAGTTCATAAATAATAAGTGCGAACATAATACTGGATAATGATTCCAAAAAATGCGGCAAGATTAATCACTGAATACAAGCATACAGTACCTGAGTACTTAATGGAATATTCCCAACCGATTGAGGTCAAAATCCAGTCAGCATGAAGAGATTCCATTAACAATGATTTTCAGCTAAAAAGTAAGAAAGAAGAATTAAAATATGCTCTTGACCTTAGTAAATTCAGAGTTCCTATTACTAACAGTCTACCATTATACGTCATAATCAACCTAATCACATACCAAAAGTATTACCTGAACTGAGTCAAAAAATTATCTTTGAACAATGATGACTGTAAAAATTTGAACATGGCAACATCAGTCCAGGATACCTTATAGATTAATTATTATCAGCACTATCAAATGAGACACTTTGGATCGTTTTTCTCCGCACTTACTGTCAGGAACAACCAATATCCACCCATAAACCTGAATTTTTCCCTATTTAATAATTTTCAAAACATTCTGCTGTATGTAGAGTGTTTTAAGGCTAGATAATGACAGCCACAATTGAATGAATGTGTTTTGTTTTGTCTGTACTTCACCTGAAGAAACGGTTAACTTCATGTTCCCCATCCAGTAACATTTGATTTGTGACGAACAGTTTATTCACATCCTCATAAAAGGTACCCTGATTACTGTAACGTAGATTGAGTCAGTATTGATGTTATTTCAACGTAGTCTTATAAGTTAAGTGGTTATATTATGGCCGTTTTGCAATGTCACATTTGGTATATCAGTTTAGTAGCGTACATAAGTATCATAATATATACACAGATCAAATCCTTCAACGCATCGATAACTTAATGTCTTTGCTTAAATAAGCACTGCAATTCATCTTTTGAACAACAAGAGGGTCGAATTTTTCATTGTAAACGTAAAAAACACTAGATATTGAATTTTTTTGGAATTTTAAGGCATGCACGGATCACCTGATGTTAAGAACACCAGAAATCAATATAAGTCTCTTACTCATGAGATGATTTGATATAAAACACACCTGTCGCTTAATTCCCTTATTTTCATCCTTTCAATCATCCGTACATATATACTGTGGGAGAGAACAAACCAACTTCCAGCTGAAGAAGAAACCAGGAAAAGACAATGGAAATGGATAGGACACACATTACGCAAATCGTCAAACTGTGATGATGTCACAGGTATTCAGTGTTTCACAACGCTTCTACCAGTAACACCTTCTAATATGATTTATACCCACCGAGAGAAATCAGAAGACAGAGCCGAATGGATCGGAAGAGTGGCGATTACCAAAATATCGGAAGTCTCTGATCTAATCTGGATAGCGATTGCGGTTGATGTGGAGCACGGCGTTACCACACGTGATCTGGTGCGGATGCCTGACCGAGCGCCTTCAGCTAGATGAGTCCACTAAAACATATGGTCAGCATCCAATGTCGAAAACTTACAGGGCTATTTATTTTGGGGATTTATTTGCCGCTACAAGTGCATCACGAGGCAAGCTCTAACTTGGAATCCTGAAGGGAAGCGAAAAAGAGGAAGGCCAAAGAACACATTGCGTCGGATAATAGAAGCAGATATGAAAACGATGAATTACAACTGGACGGAGCTAGAAAGGATTGCCCAGGACAGGGTTGGATGGAGAATGCTGGTGAGCGGCCTATGCTCCTTCACGAGGAATAACAGGCGTAAGTATATATATATATATATATATATATATATATATATATATATATACATACATATATATATAGTATGTACCCAATTTCAGTGTGCTTCCTGAATTGTAACGATTTAGAAATCTCATCCCATCAATAACATTTATGATGGTTATCAGTTTCTCTTATTAACAAGTGTAAGTTGATTACATGTATTACTTGAGATCGACCTCAATTACTTTAAACACGGAATATCCGCGGTAAACCCGATTGTACAAGGTCGTTGGTTTATAAGAGGTAATTTTGAACCTATCCCGAGCACCTCGTGCTATAGTCGCGGTAAATTAGAAGTTTTTATCAAAGTTTTTGGTTTAGAACTATTTAAGTGTCATTTGCTTGTTCCCAGCTTCTATATTGTGGTTGAATTATGTGATATACCTTGAGGTTTGTTAGTTGATACTTCAAAGGTGGTAAAATAGATACTAAAGAGATAGGAAGTTAAAATTCAGTCCCAAATAAATGAGCTCAGAACATTTATGCGTTCAAGTTTTCTACAAGTTTATCACTGTGATCTGTTGTTCTACGTAATATTTTGTTGGTACTTGGATTTTGTACATGTTTATTGTGGAACGTGTTTGCTGATTATTGTTAATGTTTAATGCTAATCTTTCTGGAGGGCTAGCTGTTCCTTGCCTTTCAAATAATGAAGTGCATCGGAGTGTTTACTAAAGCATTTGAACGATGTCCTGAGCTACCAATTTCGGGGAAATTTTGGGGAAGGCGCTATAGTAAAGTTTGGGGAAATGGCACAAAAACCTCAAAATTCCCCTTTAAACTTGGTCAAGGTCATCCGAGTTTTGAGGATTTCTCCAAAATTCCACAAGATTTACCCAAACCTGGGAGCTTAATGTGTTATATAATAACGACATGAAAACTTCGACAGCAAATGTAATTCAGGATGTTCTCACGACTAACAATCATATTAAAGTCATTTTATCCTAGCTGTTGCAATGGTGGTTTTCAATACTGTAATCATTGTAAATTATTTCATTCAACGTGATTATCTTCCAAGCATGTATTTTCGACAATTATATGAAGATGAATGTCTCAGATTTGATGAATAATAAACGTTTTGGAATATTTAAAATCGCTAAACAGAATCTCGTCCAATAAAATGTGTCTCATGATACACGGTGGTTGAACGTTTATTTATTTATTTAAAAAAATGTTGGCACAAGTAAGCACCAATAGATATTCGCCACATAAATCATTCGAGTTTTGTGAAGGCTGTGATGTTGTCCTGGTGCCCGAATCGAAACAGGTAGTTTTCTTAGAAGACCACACTCGAAGCCTTTGACCCAAAGGTCTAATCCACAAGGCAGTAGAGCAATATAAAAAGATTCAGTCCCATGGTAGCCGGTGACCAATAACTGGTTCATACGCCATTTGTTTCCTCAGGATCCTGGAGTTAATGTGCACAATTGGTTTGGAATCCGTTTTTTACAACTCCCTCAGGTGAATTGATGTTCACAGATGAATTTTCGATGGATACATTTTCACGAGATCGATCTATTGACAAAAACCACTTTTCAAATTGGTTTCAATAGGCAACACAGTCGATCCGTTGAATTAAATTATTCTACTCTAAAGTCGCATGCTTCAATGCAAAGTATTACAGAGGAAAGCAAACATGGTTGGATATCATTCAGAAAACGATTCGGATGATGCAAATACTGGAGGTCACACTGTCTTCAATAGAATTGAGACTTGGCTGTCAGACTAAATATTTACTTCGTCATTTCAGTAACAGCTAATTCATCAAACTCACTTTCAAGTTCAACCTTGTCAATATCGCCACAAAAATCCACTCAAAACACCATTATCTTTCCCTTGCCTACTAGAAGCGTTAACCCTTCAAAAGTATTATGAAAGTCATTTCGATTGTTAAATTAAGATGGGGCTTTTCATTTAGCGATTAATAAAGGTGTTAATAAGGTGAAAAGTATTGCACATGTACTATTAAGTCGATTGAAAACAGTTACATCACCAGAATTTGCAACCCTGTCTAGCCCTATTCCTTATCCAAAATGGTCGGGAATGTTAATTGCAATATTCATACCTCCTTATATTTCTGGTCACCAGTAGTAATAACGTCAGTTAGATCACTTTTTGCGACATTTCTGTACTCGATTTATATGTGCCAATTCATGTCTATTATCGCAATTTTTCTTCTCGAACAGGTAATGGGGCTGTGCGATGCGTTAAGAGGAAACGTGATTTACGAGACGATAAAAGTAAGATGATTTCACATAGGATTTTGTAAATGTATTGTTTTTCATTTATTACAGAATATTACGTTTATTAGTTTTTTTTGTGAACCGTTAGTTTATCATTTATTCGCAGTCCCACAAAACCAAGCAGCTTCAGTTCTTTTTACAAGTTAATGCTGATCAGCATCTATTTTATTGTATGAATGTATAAAAACTGAATTTCCTTTGCTAAAAAATTTATTGCCCATAAATAAACTCTTTGTTCATTAGATAATAAAGTGCTTAATCATATAATCTCTATGATTTCAGTGTTTTTTTCATGTAAAATGACTAAAATGCTTACGTTTCGCTTTAAAGCCAAAAATCACTTGACGGTTGTAAGATATAGTATAGTTCAAATACTAGTGTATTAAGAAACCATTTTTTCTGAAATGCGCTCATTCATAAAAAAGTTTATGGAAGATCTCAAATTATATTAGAAATACGCAATAATAAATAGCCATAACCCTTAATGTCACAGAATGCACCTAAGTATATTTGCTGTTCAGCTAATCGCGATTTTGACTGGAAGTGCTAAAATCCCACATGTATCAAATACACACCTTCCATGACATTTATTTTTTCTCTGGTTTAGCTTAAATTTCTTTAAATCAGATGATTATACCAGGATAAAACGTACAAATACTTCGGTTCATGTTCCTTTTGTTATAAGTTGTATTTGGGCACAGCACATCTCCAACCGTCATTGTATCTTATTTAAATCAAGGTACATAAAATAAAAACAACACTACTTTATATTGTTCTCCAGGTCATACTCAATAATTTCACTACTCAAACTTACGACCAAAATACCATAATACGAAGCCATGTTTTTTTAACGACTACTTTGAGGATTTTACTTCCTGACTTCCATCCTAACTAGCATCCATAGGTTTTGCAGTGGTAAGCTGATCTGCTCTTTTTGTCATCAGATACATTTCCCCTACCTTTCATTTCTAATTTCACAACTAATTCTCGTTGTAAATCAAAAGATAAGTAAATTTATATATTAACATACTAAAAGTCATGGCAACGATTGGCAAAGCAAGGACAGCATTCTTACATTTAAAGAACATGTAAAACTCAAAACAACTGTCAGTCAACATCAAAGTCAGAATTTCCAATACAAACGTCCAGACAGTTGTATTCTACGGAGCTGAAATGCGGAGTACTACTATAACCATAATAACGATAAAGGTATTTATAAACGGTTGTTTAGGCTATATACTCCATATCCGTTGGTCGGATACCATCAGCAACAACTTAATATGGCAGAGAACAAACCAGCTTCCATTTGAACTCAAAATTAGGAAAAGACGATGGAGGTGGATAAGACGTACATTGCTGAAATCATCAGACTGCATCACAAGGCAAGCACTTGGAATCCTGAAGGGAAAGGCAAAGAAGAAGACCAAGGAACACATTGATTCATGACTTGGAAGCAGACATGAAAATAATGAATAGCAACTGTAAAGGATTACCCAGGACAGAGTTTGATGGAGAATCGTGGTTGGCAGCCTATGCTCCTCTGAGAGGGGTAACAGGTGTAACTTCAACTTCACCAGCCATAGTTAGATATTATAAACTGCATATTATCCACTTACCTAAATGAACTCTTTATCAAAAGTTATTTATTCACACAATATTGCTGTTTTTATCTTTTGATAGTCTAATTGCATTAAGGTTCATCAAATTGATTTGCAACAAACAGTCATTATTTCTTCAGTAATACTAAATTGTTTATTTTTAAAATGCTTTTCTTAACTCATAAATGTTAATCATATTACTCCAATATAATTGAATCAACAGACCGATACAATTCTAATAATCGTATGTTTTATGTTTCATTGTACTTAGCCTTATGTTATGTTATGTTTGCCAAATGATTCATTGGCTTCAGAGTCGTATTTTTCTGAATTGAAGTGTGCATCTGCCTACTTGGATTGTACCTATTTTATTCTACGTGTTATCAATACTGAGTTGTTACAGATAAAGCAATCGGCTAAAATGAAGGTTAGTTTGTAAGTTAATCCATAGAATTCATGAATTAGTCTTTTTAATTAAGGTTCTCGTGTGGGGTTTAAGACCAACGTACCCTATACCAGTTACACACTTCCCCACTGAGTCTTAGTTACACTGAGTTTTGCTTGATGGTTCTGCTTTGGGTTTTAAGTATAATCATATCATTTCGTACATCAGTGACTGTACTTGGTAAATAATGCTTCTAAGGTAATGTGACAAGTATTTGAACAGTGTGGATTGTCATTCAGTGATTTATTTATAGTGTGACGTCGAGTCGCGGTTGACTATGACCACCATTACAGGAAGACTACGTGCCAGTTAACCGATAAGATCCCAATAGGCCAAATATCAGAAGGCAGTTGATGGCTGTAGTCGAGATGTATTTGTTGGCGATCTCGTGGTATTGAAAGAATACCGAGATCGTGCCAGGTTACAAGTGTGGTCACTGAGCGTAACCGAATTCGTGCAACGTCACAAGCAACTGAAGGATGTATGTATTTTGGTACAGTTAAACAAACAAGTACGGTAAAACAATCCCTGGTACAATTGGTTATAATAATAATTGTTTCAGTTATACCAATCGCGTTCTCTTGATAAAAGTAGATCACTACAGATTCATCTTACAATGTCAATGACTTAGGAATTTTGACGTACACTATCCCAGTGCTCTTATATGATTAGTTTCGTGAGATACATAATCATCATGCTTCATAATCTGTTTGTAAATCACAACTGTGGTTAGATGCTATACAACTTAGTAGTTTACGACACCACCAGTTCCCTCAAGAGTACAGGTATACCTTGCCGATAAGTGTCAAATAAAACGAAACACAGATATAGGGCTTCCTGCCAACTGTATCCAATCCCCTAGTATCTTAACATGTTGCACACGATGGCTGATTACCTAAACCAGTTACCACATTATAAATTGATTTATGGAATTTAATCAACACCAAAGGACCAGACAAATATGACATTGTTCGCTACCCAGTAATCAATCAAATGTAGTTTACAACACCAGTAATGACTGAACGATCAGGATTAATGGCTCTTCCATTATATGTTTGTCTTACTTTCCCCCGAACAGGATACCAAGCTTATAAAGTCATCCGTGATTGTGTTTAATGTAAATGTTACTTATAGTGTTATTATTACTATTATTGTTATACTATTTAAATCACTATTTCACTCATCTCATTTCACGTTGGCACATTTTTTTGTGTGCAAAAATCTTAATGCCTTTTTATTTTACATATTAAATAGTAAATAATAACCATGATTTAAAAATAATATCTTTTTTTCTCATCTCATTTTATTGAAACAAGTCCGACAATTTTTATAGAAATGTATTATCCATATTTGATTTACTGCTTAAACCTGAGAAAAAACCATCAGAATTTCTGGGCGAACCACCAAAACGTAAGTAGTTTTGTTTTCGATCCAAAAAAGTATTGTTGATATTCGAGTAAATGATTCTCTGTTGTGATTTTCATCAAATTAAATTCACCTTTTACCGGTGTCAATCAGTACCATACTAAATCGTATGTACATTAAAATATCGGTCATTTACTTATAAGTGTTTAATCCAATTCTTATAGTTGAACTGATTTTACAAATGAGTAGCTAAATGTATACAATTGTGAACCTATTAGATATATCTATCATACAGCTAGTATAAATCGCCCGAAGTAAATTAGTTTCAACCTTTTATTATAATCACACTGATTTGCTTTTTATCATTATTTGGTTTATTCCTTGATGATATAACAAATATTCCATCAGGTATTATCATTTAAAACAATTCAAAGTCAGTTAATTGATAATATTAGTTTAATTCTTTATAAAAAATAATTATATATATTTATTGTTATTGTAGCAAAAAGTGATTTATTTCGGCATTCAAAACATTCCCATCTACGTCATTATTTCACTCAAGTATGGATATCGTTTCTAAACAACGAAGTAAGTTTTACTTTGTTTATTTATACATTATAATTATTTCTGATAATAAAGTTGTAAATGATCATTAATTTGCAAAAAATGCATAGTGAAATCGGCAGATGTATAGTTGGTTTGTCTGTATAATTAACGTACAAACAACTGATCATTTAACTTTTTCCGTCCACTACTGAATTAGAGACCATATAATAACGAAAAGCTTCAAATAATAAATGTGACTTACACCTTCATCAAACTTTGTAAGTGAATGCTGAGATACTTCAGTATGTTGTTATTAAGTACTATAATAAATTCTATAAACAAACTAGATATTGGATATACACGCAATTTCCCTAATAAATTTTAGTTCGTAAAATATGTACAGCATTAAATACCTTTCGTGTCATGACATTATTTTCGCATTTATCTACTTGAATTTAAGAAACATTATGGTTTGACATTCCTCGACTTCAGTCAGTCAGTCAGTTACAACGTAGGACCAGGCACATATGTGCATCGGTCCAAGTTGCCACACCTTATTAGCACAGCAAGATGAACACCAAATTCATAGAAGCAATTAACTCAATGGTGTAATGTATAAAGAAAAGATTGCATATAAGGATATAGTGCAGGAAGAAAGTTAGTTCGTAGAAAGAAAGATATGAAATAATTTTAGTCTCATAGTTTAAGGGAAGATAGAGAGTGCATACACCTACGCCATTGTGATCGGTTCTGAGCCATGTCACCAAGAATCTCCAACCATTGGTTACGATAGTCACGCGGACCTCAACCAAGTTTTCTGCAATTACCAACATGGTTCAGACTAGAAGTTAGTGACTTCAAGCACTAATGCCACGTTTTGGTTTGGCCGCCCCCAACTTTCTTCCTCGACTTCCCACTTTATCAACACATTTAAACATAGTGAATCTGTAATATCATTTTAACTGACTTACCGAATACAGATTTGTGTAATTGACTTTTAACTGCACTCTTTGCTAGAGCTAGAAATATGTTACGCTCCTAATAGGGTAGAGAATAAGCGTTAACTCTACGAATTTCAATAGCCTATTATGATCTAATTGTTTAGAGTAACATTATTTTAACCCACTAAATAAACAAAGAAAAAACTGGTCTCACATGCGAGAACCCTTACTATCCATGTAAGAAAAGAGAATGTTATTGTTAAACTTCCGGAATCAAGAAAAATAACGTCATTGCGAAATGCCAACCAGTAGAGCTAACACATGTTGGATGTAAGGTGGCTATCCACCGAAGATAATGGGAAATGGTCGTGCAATGTCACTGATTGACCGATGATAGACATTAACACTGTTGGACGCCAACTCAGTAGTTTGGAGATTAAGTTTTCGAGCGCCACCAAATGTCCTAGGTCCGAGTCCTACGTGTGGAATCGTGGATGCGTACTGTTAGGGAGTCCTATACTAGAACGAATCGACCGTCCAATGTGTTGTGACGGGTGGTGTCTCAAATCCGATACAATGTACTACTCGCTAACCCTCCCCCCAACTGACTAATTGAACGAGAACACAAGATTAAGCAAGAAAGTATATTGGGCTACTGAATATAATGCACAAATACTCATTTAGCTATACACAACTCTACCCCCTAGGAAATCAATCTGTAGTGAAGGAGAACACGGGTGAGGACAACCAAATTGTATTTAGGACAAATTACAGAATTACTTGGTAAAATAGAAAAACCATATAGTAAATCGTTAATTTGCAAAATATTATTCTATCATATCAAACCGGACTGTTGCTTTTGCAAACCTCAATCCATTGTCTCGCATTTCATTGTTCATGCGATTTCTTACAAATTCCATTGTTTTCTCGCTCTTCTTTTCTTGATCTCCATCTTCTGCTGCCAGACGTTACGTTCTTTTGACTCACGTTATATACTACTTATTTCAATATAAGTAGCACGCACTACAAATCTATTTCTTAGCCAATCAAATTCACTTCTCGAAGTCATTTTTGATCGCTGTCGATTGACCTGATTAGGCTACTTCTGATTGACGCATCATATCACACTGCTTCCAGGTTTTCTGTAGTGTAACTTAGATCGTCTTATGATTTCAACAATATTAGATATTTGTTCTCCGTTGTTGATAAACTCGGTATGGTGAAATATCATTGGTTGAACTTCCACAACCAATCAAATCAAATTCATTTCGAGGATGTATTTTTAACTATTTTGTTAGTTATTTAAATGTAGAAAATCCTAATTGTGTGGTTGCTGAACTCCTTTGTTATCTGAATCTATTTCTTAATGAAATTGGTAACTTTTATTTCTATACTCAATAGGACTAACAGTTAAGCAGAATTAATGATGAAGTAAGAATAAATATTTGAAACAAAATTCTAGAGTTTTTTTCCATCAGAATTATCCATTACAATTTCTGTCTAATTTTCTGCCTAACAAACCGATCATATTCTTTCTGCATCCTATCGCCTCATTAGATAGGCAGGTGATACTCCCCTCTTTACATTGACACTTGTGTGATAATTATTGTTTGCTACTTTATTAAATGAGGTTGTTTATCTATGTACTTGAATTCCTTAAAAATAGTTTGAATTCAGTAAATCCCCAACGTCTAGATATTCTTGTGTGATGCAGTTAATATATGACATTCTAGATTAGTTAATAAAAGTTACTGTGATAATTTCGTATTTTTCTACAATGCTCAACAGTTGATATTCAAATAACTGTAAACTGTATGTTAGCAAGCGTAAATGTCCTTAATTATATCATAAACTATCCTGTTAATCTAATGAATCATCATTGTTACAGTATTTAATTAATGTTACTGTTTGAATAATAATAATAATAATAATTTATGGTTCAAATTACATTTGTATCAGATACTTAGTACTGTTTTATTTTCACTCTTCATAGTGAATTTGTAATTGTATTGCTTAAGTCATTTGTATGACAAGTGATAATTTGTATATTAATCTAATTAATTGATTATTAATTCTATCCTGTGGTGTTTATTCTTCTATATATATGCAGATAGCAGTGATCACAAAAGTGGTACGAAATCGTAATTCACATGTTAAAAATCATGCAGGAAGCATTAACGCTTATTAGACTTCAAGCTACTTGCATTAATTTATACAATCCTTGTAATTTTTACACGTCGATTCATAATATTCATCACTTTCATTATTCTTTTTTATTCGCTCACCTAGTTATCTGATGACGTACGTCTAGAATCTGTACGGTACTTGGGTAATGGAGGCATGAATCGCTTAGCCGAAATTCGCTTATTAGCTGATCACATTATACCAATTTTTGATCCCGATCCGGAGAATAAATTATCTCAAACAGAATTGACAAAATTTCCAACTAGTTGGTCTCGTTCAGTTTGTCATGCAGTACTCGGTTTAATTCAAAAAGGTGATTTCAATTATCCACGTTTGTACATTCGGCTGTATCGTTTATTGGATGAAACTTTGTTTGAATGTCCAGATGTCGAACCTTTTCTGATTGATTTAGATGTTTATTTAAGCTCCATGTAAGTGTTCATTATAGTGATCTCTTAATGTGAAACGATTTTAATTCGACTAAAGTACTCTGTTTGTTAGCTTCCTATTTATAACTTATGACTACGTAATACGTATGTGCAGTCTTGATAGAACTTTTTCAGGCCAGATGAGATTTCTGAATCTGTGCCGAGATTTTATTTATATATCAACCCATAAGAATCAGCAAAAATTCCAAGTAAAGTGGTGTTTTTGCTTAAGTTTTATAGTATTTAGCCTGCAAGCTTTGTGTAATAGTCCCTGAGTATCTCATGAAGTTAAGATGTATAATTACTTCGCCAAGATAAACCTCAAATAATAATAATAGTACTTATGAACTCCCAAAATAGGTGATCCATAAACTTTAACAGACCATAAGATTATTATTAATAGTATGATTAATCTTTGCTAATAGAAACATTCAAAAATGAACTCAAGCCGTCTACGTTAAAATACTGAATACTAATTCACACTAGTTGTTTATCATTTCATAATTATTTTGGTGGATTTTTGTTCTCTGAGCTCAGAGAACAAAAATCCACCAAAATCATCCACCTGAGCTAAAAGTCTTCTCCATCATCTCAATTTCATAATTATTCATTGTATAATACATCAAACACAATAAAAGTTTACTTTATTTCAATAATTGAGATCATGAGTCAATTGAAGCTAGACCACCCTGAAAAACCTGGAAGCACTGGACGGCCATTTCTAACTTCAAACAATCCAATATGGAATTTTCTATTTTCGATAGGTAAATTTAAAAATCACACCAGAGTTATTCTCAACTGTATCATGTCAATTAATTGTATCGTACCCAGGAATTCCGGTCAAATTTCCGTGCAGTTAGTTGCCTTTTATTATACATTATAGAGTAGATTTTAATTAAACAATGAATTGGAAGCTTTAACGTTTCCGGCTGACATATAACTAGACATATCCATTGCAGATTTTAATTATACTGACTTTTGTCTAGTGCTTATAGGTTTTCCATCATGATCTAGCTTCAATTGACTCATGATCTCCATTATTGAGTTTACTTTATTGTTGAAAATAATGTAAGAATGTCATGTTCCAACAGTTATCATTCTATTTTTTGTACGTAATCAGTTTATTGTTTTTGTTTCTTCCTTTAAATGACAACTAGTTACCCGACTTTTCCTTTATTTTATACTTGTATTCTATGAAGTTTCTTTTGTTAAGATTATTCTAACTTTTATTATTCTTTATAACATATATGTGTTGTCTATTTGTTAGTTATCAGTGTTTTTATTTTTTTTGATAATTCTAAAAACTTCATTTGTTGTTTCCTGGAATTCTCTATTATTGTTTCTGATTATGTTGTTGTTCTTGTTTGTTTTTTTTCCAGACATTTAGCTACCACAGTTGTTGCATCATTCATAAAACGACTTTCTCAATTATCTTTATTTAGTCCAATTACAATTACACCTGCAATACTTTTAATCATCTTCAATGGTTTACAAAATCATCCTCATTGTCGTGTTTTAATTAATTCTAAACAGAAAAAATCACAAAAATTAAATAATATTCAATCGGATGATAATAGTTTACCAAATGTATTAAATGTAAGCTTTCTATTTTCTTTTTCTACAACTGTCCTGTTTATGAAAATGAAGATTTTGCCAATACATAATAGGGATATATATTCATTTGTTGTTTTGTAAAACAAGAATAATACCTACTATGAGATGATGTTGTAAATTCATTACATTCTACAATATTTTTTGTTTTTTTTAATCGTTAAACAAAATTTGTCAAATACAAGTAATTGCATATGGTGTCCTATTTTTTTCTCTAGGCACAATCAATTGGTGATCCCTATAATTGGGAAGCAGATAATTTTGATTCATCTAGAGCATTAGAAAGTAGTCTATGGGAAGTTTATGCATTAATTGGTCATTGTTCACCAGATATCTCATCATTAGCTTATAAAATTTGTAATCCTGATCCAACGGATACTTTTAATTCCTCTGTGGCTGACATACTTGATAAACAAAAAAAGGTGAGTTGTAATTCCTTTTCTAATATTTTAACAATAGTCAATCATTTCTATGTAGTATAAATACTCCAACCTGACTGTTTTATTAACATTTATCGAATTCTGTTTCACTGAAATACAAGTGTGGTCGTTCAAATTAGTAATTGACTTTTGGTACATTTATATATGAACGAGCGTTCAAAATATTTTTTTCATAACATGATGAAATAGATTTTCAGTTGAAGCAATTGCTTGTATTGTCTGAGTTAGATGGTTCAATCGTGATGTGTCCATTGTAGTTCTGTATGAAATCATCAACTCCTACTTCATGTAGAATGAGCAGTTGTAATCAAGATGGAAATATGGAATATCGGATTCCGGCTCAATGGTGTGTTTATGTAACATCCCACAAAATTTAAAGCTCCGTCGTTCGATTTTGAATAAGATTATAAGTGAGCAATATTTAACTGGTCCTTGTTTTCAGTAGTTATCCAATTGATTCGAATGTGTGATGAAAAACTATCTTCACGTTGACCTAATCTTCCTGAACCTTTCAACCAGAAAAATGGGAAATGTTGAAGTGTAATGCAGTCAGTTATGGACGACTCAGAAACCTTGACATCAAAGTGAATAATCTAAATTGTCAGTTGGTTCTTAATAATCTATCTAAACCGGCTTGTAAAAATAGTAGCACTAATTAGAGCACCCAAGTAGCGAGCAACCTTTTTCAATATTTACAGAAGTATGAAAAACGGGTGTATCTACATTTTTTAATTTGTCTTTAATTATGGAATTCCCGTTGTCCAAATTTCGATTTTAGCTGTCTGTGTATCCGATGTAAGAAGCCTGTACACATTCATATGTTCGATTATGAACATCTATAACATTTAATATCTCTATTATGAGACTTTTTTGTCATACTATTATAACTGTTATCACAAAGTAGAGGAAACGATGACCTACTCGTTAGATATTTTATAGTTTCCTCAATAAGTGCAATTTCTATATATTACTAACATTGACGTCATTTACTAAATTGTTTCATCCTACTGGAGAAGTGTTTAGCAATCAGTCATTATCAAACACACATTATACTTCTATTTCATCCTATAACAGCTGTTTAGTACAGCAGATATAGATGTTATATGTGTCTACATTGTTCATTATCGGATTCTGGACAACTCATCGAAAAATATACATGGAAATTCATGCTGAATCTTCTCTTGTTATTACCAATGATTTTCAGTAAATTATATCAAAACACTTTAAACAACTATCATGTTATCCCATTCTGTCGAAAGATCCTGCTTTAAGTGGTTATTTGCCATCAGGGAATTCAGTGGCATTATAAAATCAGAGAATCATAATAAATGTTAACATGTTTAGTGAATGTCTTTCACAAAACTTTTTTCGAATGGAAAACTTTAGGAAAGACTGTATGTTTGTGACTCCTAGCGAAATATATATTTTAAACAGACTTCCTGGTCAGTTTCAGGGTTAAAATGAAGACGCTTATCGTCTAAACTGGGTTGCGGCCTTTCCTGGTGTAGTTGAAAACCTTTGATCTCCATCACTAGAAACATTACAAGTCGCTTTGTTCAAATAACCGACTTCCAACTCTGAAAGCGAAATCTTGTTCAGAAAATTATCTTCAAGGGTATGACCAACGGAAAATATTCCAACATACTAAAATAAGTCAGTTAGGGCAACTGTTCAGAAAAAGCCCTACATGATGTATTGTCTTATCGCTCTTTACATCACCTACTATTTGTTTTAAAGTGTTGGCGCTATCACATAACACAACTCGGAAAAGTTTATAGAGGATCGATTGGCAAGAAGCAGACTAGATTTCATTCTAGTCATAAATGCTGTAAATATACGTTCATTCACTGTTGCATATATCTTTGAGCAACGGTCATTATCACTTGACATCAAAAACATCTGTTGTTGAAGTACCCCTAAACAATGCACTGATATTTTATTAATTGCTTAAAAATCTATTCAGTATTGGATGACATGCATGCTGTTCAGGTCATACGTGCACGAATAATGATGACCAGAAGATAGTTATGCTAATATAGAACACATCGTTATCCAGACAATATGTCCCTTAAAACAAGCATATGATGTCTGCGATTCTACCTTACCCGATTATGACTTTGACGTAATCTACACTCGATGGCTTCCATATCGCACGTTTTACACACACTAGAACTGAGTGGAAAATGAGTAGGGATCGTCAGTTTATGATTTCGACATATGACATAAGGGTTAGTTGCACTGAATTCACCTTCATCGTTTTACAGCAGCTGCCTGAATTTAATCTCATCACACGAATGTATGGTCTGAAACTTTTTCATGTACTACCTAGACTACAAACTAGTAATCACCCCGTCATAATTTTTTTATTAGATTGTTTGGAAACCGTCCAGGGCATCTAACTAATCAAATATATTTTATATGCAGAGTTGGATGGTGGCTGGCAGTGAAACCTAGAACGCTCGTTCCGTCGCATATGGAACTTGTCAGCTGGACCCATCGAGGAAATTGGTATAGTATGCACGTACGCCGAAAAAGGCTGACCGATTGCAGTCTTAAACATCAACGAGAACATTCAAACAACCAACATAAATGAATTAAATATATTTTACTTATGTTATCACCGTAACTGTATCTTATAATAATCCATAATATTCGTCCTCAATAACTTTTTTATTTGCATCCTTAGGATATTGTTACATTTTGTGTTTTGCTTCCGGGTAACTTACTGTACCTGACTTTTTTAAGTTAAAGAATACGGTTATACGTTTTGGTTGAATAAAAGAACATTAGTTCAAAATAACCTGGCTCTAGCCCCAATCGTAATTTATCATTTCTTTCTTCTAGAATATTAAAGAAGCAACCCGCTCTGTGAAGGAAGCATTGTACCTGTTATCTCAAACTAATATTACGATGCCAGAGTTACCTCCGCTTGATGGTTGGGCGTAATTGGTTTTCCTTTTTGGTGCAGAAACGTTTAAGTTTTTATACAACTTACTATCTGTGCAAGAAACATTTTTAATTATAAATATCTGATTCTTTTGTATAATACTGAACGCTTATTAATTCTGTTCATATTTTCACCTTTCTATTGTTATATCCAGTAGCTTAATTTCGTGTAAATGATGTATACATCCTATAAGTTGTATTTACATGATAAGATAATTATTAAAATGTTTTTGTATTTATTTACTTTATACTGTTCTCATTTTTTGTTGCGATAAATTTTCGTGCAGTACAAATATTTCACTGAAAAATGAAGTTTACAAGACAAGCTGCGTTTTGCCGGATGCATTCACGATTAATATATTTAACCGTGGTCTTTTGCAAATGTTATTCAGTGAAAGTGTCATTAATTGGCATTAACTTGACAGTTTTTGACCTTTCACTCTAATTGGTTGAGCTATTAAGTCAACTATCAACTTGCTTTTAGTTAAACCGTTTACTGTAAAATGGTAATGAAAAATAATGGTCAAGTGTATCCGTCATATGAGCTATCTATGCACAGGATATGGAAAAGAAAAAATCAGGTTTCTCAGTTTTACGGGCTATTAATATCGATCAACCTAAAAACCTAAGTGTCACAATGATCCGACATACTATCATATTAACGCACCAAAAACCTCACACTTTCTCAGTGTTCATCATACCATATTTTAGTCTGGGGATATCTGTTTTGTATACTTTAGCTTGTTGCATTATGGTATAAACTACACGGTAATGTACCCATCTTTTTAAATACCAGATAGTTAAAAGGATGAACTGAAGTTATAGAGTAGTTTCAAATGCACGTAAACATAACTTTTTGGGTCGTTATATAACCTATTTTAGGGTGCTTCATGTTCCTCAAGTGATTTCTTCCTGAAGTTAAATGGGTTTAGGGAACATTCCTATTCAATCTTCGTCGGCGTTAATCAAATTCCTTTTGTTCTTTGTAGTTGTGTGACTAATTTCATATGGCAATGAGCAGCTGAGTATAATGTGTTTCGCGACAACTGAGAAGTATTCAGTAGTATAGTACAGTGACAGAGGACCGACTTAAGAAGGGCTCACGAAGCCTTCTGTGTAATAACCGATTGGTTCAATAAGTAATCATATAATATTTTGTTTACCCCGCCTGTTTCTGAATACCCCTCAATGTGAAATGAGATCGGTTTGCGTAATAGACGGTAAGGAGCTTTATGAAGACCTTTACAAAATTAAATCTAAACAAGCGTTGGTTTACAAGGTAAGCCTACACACGTACAATTTCCTGTACTGTATATGGTACTGTAGGGTCATATAACGACTGAATGTTGACTGCTGTGTGATTATTCGCATAACGAATTCTGGATTTTCATGTTTATCTGCAGTATGCATACGAATTCGAATATTTATCCATTAATTTTAGGCATTTTAACGGATTGCAATTTTTCCTGATTGGTTGAGTGAATTTTTACTGACTGAAATACAGTTCAGGTTGTACTGGCCTTGTTGTTCTCACTGTACTATTACATCATAATTTGCTGATGTAGTGGTATTGAGTCCTAATCATACAATCCTCAAAGCGGAAAATGAGATAAATGGGAGAATGGATTTTCCAGATTTAGGACGGAAAAAAGGCCAACTATATGGAATGCGGCAACATTCATTCCATTGGAACGGTGCGGCTCGGATGTACAGGCGTGGTCATTCTTATGCAACCCATACCTTTCTACATTATATGTTACTCCATCCCTAGCCAAAATGTGTTCGTCCTAAGTATCATATTGTTACTTATCACGATATGATGAGTCTGTGTAGACAAGGCTGTGACTCACACGTAAAATCTTATATATTAGGCAGTCATATCATAGCATATCCACAATGACTCTTACAGTAACTAGCACATTTCAAAGTGATATGTGTCAGAAGTATATAATGTGTAACTAAGGAATAACAGGAAAATACATCAATACATCTTAATCAATATCAACGATATCTTACATATTTAGTTTATTACGTGCCAACGATCACCAGTAAATCAAAATACAGCAAGACATCTGGGCGGTTACATTTTGCACATATGTAATTGTTTGTGATCCTAACGTAATCAACGACTAAGAATCAAGAATTATCAAATAATCACAGTCAGATGGCAAAAAACATCACTGCTGCTAGGCAAGGATCTAGTTTTATCCTCAAGTGAGAGAAAGAGCAAATTAATTAAATCAGACTTTCAAAATCAAGGATTTGACGAAGCAGTACACGTGTTAACAGAAAGTTTAATATGTACTAAACGGTCGCACGAATTATTGTGGGTAGATGGGACTGAAAAAGATGTGAATTGACGACCCAGCTGTCACCAAGATTTTATGTCCTTACTCCAGCACCAAAACTACAAGAGAATAGATTCACTTATTTGCGCTAGTTCGTCGCAAATGATATCGAAGTTGGAACTTAGGGACTGTTTCAACTCAAAAATTTGTGAACTTATTAGACAACATCTGCAGACGGACAAAAAAATCAGCTCCAACAACGTATATTCAAACGCATCAAGACATATGCTACATTTTTTTAGAATGCATGTGCTTAAATATAACTTTATAATGATATATTCAGTCCCTTCACGCTCGTTTAAAACACTAATTCATAGCTGTAAAACCATTATTAATGAGATCATCTTTGACCGATGACCTATAAAACTATTCATTTTAGGGATTTGTTTAACGCTAAAGGGTCCTTGTTTCACTTTTTGTTTACAGTTTGTTCTCAAACAAGTTAGTCTCTGCATACAAATATCCACTTATACATTGTTATTGAATATGGAAGACGGTAAACCAGACGCTTTGTTTATTATACTTGCTGTTTTTTCAAACTATTGAGGTCGACCAATAACGACGGCGACGCCACTAACTTTTTGGCTGAACAATACTCCCGGACATTTCATCCGACCCACATCAACTATACTGATGACAACTTCTGCATCTGCAACTACACAGGACTTTCCGAAGTGAACATGAACGCTGACTTGGTGTTCGAGAACCTGCAGCACCTAAGAAAGGACACTTCTCCTGGCACAGATATGGTTCATTCTGCTATACTAAGGGGAGCAGCTTCAGTCCTGGCAACACCGCTTAGCGTGATGTCCTCACACTCGCTAGGCCGAGGCAAACTACCGGAAAATTTGAAGCCGGCTCACATCACACCAATTTTCAGACGAGTTCGACTCAGCGAAACTTCAAGTTCCCGACCGGCAGCTCTTCTCTCTATACCTTCAAAAATCCTGGAGTCCCTGATATACGATGGTATATATGACTATTTACTGTCCTCAAATCTCTTATCACCCAAGAGCATGGTTTTAGGAAGGGTTAATCTTGTATAACCACCCTGCTGACTGCGGTGGACAGATGGACAAGCATCCTTGATCGCAAGGGGAAGGTTGATATCATGTATCTTGATTTCTCGGAAGCTTCTGATAGTGCCAACCATGTATGTCCTATCAATAAGCTCAAACGAATGGGTATCAGACCACCTCGAATTGATTGGCTCATTTCAAATCTGAAAACCGACAATTAAAGGTTAGGGTTAACTTCACTTCAGCTCAGGCTATGGAATGTCCTAGTGTGGTCCTCCAGGACTCAGTACTAGGACCTCTTCTGTTATTGATTTTTATAAATGATCTTCCACAACAGGTATTCCCAGATTTATTACTTTTTGCTGATGACGTGAAACTTTGGAGAGAGATACGCAACCAAGAGGATATGCAGGCACCATGCTATCTGTGACAAAAATGCCTTTCGAGAAAACCTTGCACTGGTAACATTGAAGCGCATTTTTGGCCAGTTTGACGGAAGAACCTTCCACATTATTCGTCCTCATTTAGTGCACGGAAACGTAGTATTTCTTCCCTCACTCGAAAAAGATAAGGACACTCTGGAGCGTATCCAGCTGCGAGCCACGAAATCAGTCCAAGGACTCAAACCTTCAATCACTTAACCTTTACCCGTTAGAGTTTAGGCGTCTTGAAGATGGCTTTCTAATGGCTCACAGCATCCTTAACACTTCTGAACATCCCTTTAACACCTACTTAAGCTTAGTCCCAATACAAACCTAAGAAGTAACACACAGAAATTGGAGATACAACACAGCAGAACGGACTGTAGACACAACTTCTACTCCTTAAGAGTTGCCAAATACTGGAATTTGTCGTCGACTAAGCTAGTCCAAGCGACTTCTAAAGAGTCCTTTAAGAGGCAACATGACCTATTCTTAAGGACTAAGGATAACATCTTATTATGATTTACCAATCTATTTTTTTCATCTTTTGTCGTCAACATACCTAGACTCCTGCCTGGAAGTATTGGTGATCCCTTGCTACCAGGTATGGAAGCCCGTTTAGCGAAAACTCCTTCTATTGCACCATTTCATTGAGAATTGAAGATAAGCACTAGCCATTGCGCTCAGTTCGTACAATTGCGGAACATAGCACCTATCTAAACTCCTAAACTATGTCTTTGAAACAGGCCGTCGCCAAAAGTAAGTCTCCTACTATGTACTGTCTATAAGTCTAGAATTGATGGATGAAATAATTATCCCTTTGAGAAAGCCTAAAGATTGGAAAGTTCTCGTTCTGGATCGATTAGCCACTAGAATTGTATCTTCGTGTTGTAAGATGCATGAGATAATGAATAACGGCATAACATGTAGTGAATATTTTCTGATAAATATTTATTTCGTAGTGGTTGAAGACATTTTTAAGAAAAGGGAAGTGCTGCCGATTGAGGCAATATACTTGATCACCCCTACAGATGAAGTAAGAAAATTACTATACTTCTAACTCCATAGTCTTTAAAACTTCTGATGGAGGATTTTCAAGGGTCCCAGAGTCAATATCGTTATGCCCACGTCTTCTTCACCGAAGGTAGGTTAATTTTCAGATACTGTAATAAGCGTATCATATTTGCTCTCTTCTCGAGATGTTTTCCGTTTTTTAAAAATGATAAATTCACTACATCTGTGGCTTATATTATTTCCCATTGAAAATTAGACCAGAAGTTTTCAAAGCGTTCGAGGGACCTGGCTGTGATATCCCCACACAGGTCCCTATACTCATAGTCGGTGGTTGTGAAGCTTGCCACAAATGTGCGTTAGCCCAGGTTACTGTACCTCATTAACGCGATGAAATGGAATTTCCAAGATATGATGGAGTCAAATTGGCATAGTAGCGATGAGAAAAACTACTGAATCTGATTCAAAAAACAGTAAAGATGCATGCGTCAAGAAATCCTGAGAGGAAGATTAGAGTGAATGCCTCTGCGAAATTGTGACTTGTGCTGAGCTGTATCGCGCATATGCAATGGTTGGTCGTTGTTGTTGTGCGTCCTCCAAATAGATAGTTTGCATCTACCGAGATGTCAGTTAGTGGCTTCCTGAACTGATACCATGTCCTGATTCATCCTCTCCTAGCTCTTTACAAACACATTACTACTCCTGCTAACATCGCTCATCAAAGTAGGCGTGTTTAACATGTCTTAACCACCTCAGTCACTAATGATTCATAGTCATTCAATCCACTTTCCGCCTTTGCTTAATGTCGCATGTCTAAGATCAACATCGCTCACTTGGTTGTCACATGAAACGTGAGCAATGGTTCGAGGAAATCTATGGTCCAAAACTTGTTTATTATTTATTTATTTATTTATTTGAACACAAATATTGGCACAAAAGGTCACCAAATATATATGTGCCACACAAAACAATGAGAATGGGAAGAGGAAAATGAAGGTGTGGGGTGTAGAAGAAAAAGAAGAACAATAACGACCAGATTAGTGTAAGGCAGTGTAATAATAATAACAATAGGGGAAACGGAAAGGTACAACCAGAAGAGATCTTTCAGTTAAGGAATATACAACCAATTTTTATGAAGAAAGTAAAAGAAGGTTACAGCAGGATCGCCACTGACTTCTATTCTGAGCCATATCTTATAATGTCTCTAGCCACTGTGTAGCACCATCTCTCAGACCCCAACCAGGAAGTCGTGAAGAAATAACAAGCCAGCCGTTTGCAACTTTCCTTCATATCATGACACCATGTCATACACTGACCACCTCTCCGCTTTTTCCAACCAGTCCCAGAGTCGGCAAATAATGCACGATGTGGAATTCTCTGGGACGACATTCGTATAACATGTCCAAGCCACCGAAGTCGATGTTTCAAGATGGTGACACCAATTAGATTATCGTCTCTGTGCCCGAACACACGATGCCGAACCTCTGCATTACTGATATGGTGTTGTCACTGGATGTCAGCAATCCTTCGGAAACAACGATGATCGAACACAGAGCCGTCTAACGTCCTCAACTCGGAGAGGCCAGGTTTCACAAGCATAGAGCGAAACTGCTCTCACCGATGCGTTGTAGATCCGACCATTTACAGCAAGACTAACATCACGAAGGCGCTAAAGATGGCGCAGATTGGCATAAGCCGCTCTGGCTTTCACTATACGTGCATTGATCTCATCACTCACGCCACCACCAGCACTTATGCAGCTACCCAGATACACGAACTTCTCGACTGCTTTTATCTGCTCACCATCCAGGGTGAGTACAGGATTGGAATCCTGCCAGTCTTGTAGAAGTACTTTGCACTTCGAAGGTGCAAAGCACATACCATACCTACGGACACTGATTGCCAACTGATTAAGTGTGGATTGCATGCCTTGGGCATTATCGCACAGTAAGACAATATCGTCCGCATACTCAAGGTCGAGAAGTCTTTCTCCAGGCAACAGATCCACACCACCATTACTTACATTCATCAGAGCTGTTTCCAGAATGTCATCGATGGCAAAGTTGAAGAGGAATGGTGAGATTGGGCAACCCTGCCTAACCCCACTGCTCGAATGGAACAATGGAGAGAGGTGGTTGTATGCCCTCACTCTGCCTGAGGTGTTTGTATATAGGGCTCTTTGGATGTTAATAAACTTCTCAGGCACACCCTTCTTCAATAGACAATCCCAGAGAACAGTCCTATCCAACGAATCGAAGGCAGCCCTGATGTCAAGAAACACTACGATTGTTGGCCTTTGATAAGTATGGCGGTGTTCTAACATTTGGCGGAGGGTGAAGATATGATCAATACATCCTCGACCAGAACGAAACCCAGCCTGCTCCTCGCGAGTCAATCTTTCTCGGGTTTTGAACAACCTACGAAGTATGACGGAAGCCAATAGCTTGGACGCAATCGGAAGTAGACTTATCCCCCGATAGTTGTTATAGGAACGACGTGAACCCTTTTTAAAGATAGGGACAACTATCGACTCATTCCATGACGTTGGTACACTCTCTAGTTCCCAAACCTTTGTAAACAACACAGTCAGTCCCTTAGTCAGAAAGTCACCACCATCTTTAAAAAGAGCCGGAGGTAAGTCATCTGGGCCAGGTGATTTGTAACGCTTCAAGAGTTGGAGTTCCTTGCGGACTTCCTCCTCATTTGGTGGATCAGTCGTCACCGGCCATGGAGGGCAGGACAGTCTGACCGATGTTGCCGGAGCAGCAGGCCAGTTGAACTGCCCTTCGAAAAATTCTGCCCATCGTCCAAGACATCGATGGATGTTAGTGATTGGCATCCCATCATCCTCGCAGATTGTTTCACTCACACCAGACTTCTTGCTGCCAGTGGCTCGGATGAGCTGTTAGAGCTTCCGGTAATTACCAGATGCAGCTGCTGCTTCCAGCTCATTAGCACGCTCGACCACCAGGCTTCTCGGTCCTTACGCAAGCTTTGCCCGATTTCATTACGCAACAGCCTTCGTTCGTGGTCAATCTCACGGCCACCCAAAGTAGACGGACGGGCTTCGATGAGTTGTAAGGAGTCTGAAGAAACTCAATGCTTATAAGCGAAACGTTTCGCGAAGCAGCAAGCGGCTTTACTCGCCATTTTCATGGCGTCATGAAGTTGCAACCAACTTCGTTGGCCACTGAAAAGTAAGGTAAGATTGGCGCAGACCAGGGTATGATCAGAGTCAAGATAGGCACTCCAAAAGGAGTGGCAGTCTTGTACACAACCACGCCAGCGGTAGCTGATCGCGATGTGATCAATCTGAATACAGGCTTGAGATGCAGAGGGAGGACGCCAGGTGGCAAATCAGCGATGACTGTGCCGAAAGTTAGTGCTAGCCAGGAACAGGTTGTCGACTTTGCACAGTTGCAGTAGACGGTCCCCGTTATCTGTCTTGCGACCAAGAGGTCCCCACCGGCCACCTAAACGATCCTCTTCTGTGCCTAGACGCCCGACCTGAGCATTTAAGTCTCCGGCTAGTACTACAATATCTGCCAAACTCACTTTCTGGAGAAGAACAGATAACTGGTGGTAAAACTCATCCTTGATTGCATCCGGGCTGCAATCTGTCGGGGCATAGGCGGAGATGACGAAAAAACAGCGTTTCTCACGCCGATTTCTTCTCACTTTGATGGAACTTTCTACTCTAACAGCACATAACCGACTGTTAATGGGGATCCAATTGATTAGTGCTGCCTCAGCTCTAGCGCTTAGTGCGATACCAACGCCAGCAAGACCAGACGAAGATACCATAGGGTCCCCGGATAAGCGCACGTAAAACAAGCTTTTCGAAGCGACAGATGGAGAGCGAATTTGTAGTACTTCACCAGAATCTTGAGTACGGGTCTCGGATAGACAGCAGACATCGATATGAAGACTTTCCAAATACAGCCAGCCCTATCTGTTGTCCGATCTGCATAAGTGTGCGGACGTTGAAGGCAGCCATTTTGAATGGTGCACGTGGTTTCAGAAAAACTGCTTCAGTATTCGTATTTGATGGTAGCATACAATTTTCAACCAGTCAGTGACTCGAGAACGTTTAGATAGAACCGAGTTTCCACCATAGGCGAGCTGCTGTATAAGTCGAAAAATAAAGATAGAGTGGGAATAAAAGAGAGTGAATAAATGACATAGTAAATAATAATAATAATTACAATAGTAATAATAATAATAGTAATGTGGATCGTTTGTTTGTTAATCGTATTTTCCATAATTATCGACAGTTCATATTTGTGTGTGAGCTGTGATACTGCCCGGGTGCCCAGACCGAAGCAGGTGATTTTCTTAAGGGGCCACACCCTGAGCCCTTGACCTAAAGGTCTAACCCACAAGGCAGTAGAGCATCGTGAGGAGATGCAGTCCCATGGTAGACGGTGACCAACGATTGGTTCATACGCCACTTGTTCCCTCAGGATACTGGAGCCCATGTGCACCATCGATTTGGTTTGGAATCCGGTTTAAGCGCCGGACATTCGCTTTTCGTCCTCTCATTTTCGTAAACAACACCCCGCCACGAGAAGGCAGTGATTAGGACTTCCCTGACAGAGGTTGTATACGCGTGGCCGTGTGAGAGCATTTCGAGAGGGAGGGCGGGCCCACCCCTTTCTCGGTCATACCAGGGCATTTGGGGGCTAATGCATATCTTCTGCTTCGAATGGGCATGTTTCATGGTCATAAATTAATACGAAATGGACTGCTGCACAATACGCTCGCCCTTTTGTTGGTAATCGGACATATATTTTAATCCGCAGATGATGCAATTTGGCAAAGTTTAACGGAGCTTCGTGAACCCGTGCTGAGATTCCAACAGACATCAACCCTTAAACTGTGATAAGACTTCTAAAAAGTGTTCGATGCACTTAGCTACTTCGCTCTTTATGGTCCATGTAGCAACAATTTGGATTTAAGGAGAGTGAAACGCACCCCAAATGTGCTTGGATTGTTACTTAAGATTATCATAAGATCCTGCATTATGTCAATGTCCTAACTTCATCTGCATATTGTAGGTCAATAAGTGGGCCACAATATAGGGGCGGAATCCATGAACAGTTAAATAAAGTAAGTGTGATTTCCGGGATATTCAGAGCTGAATTAAGTGAGGAGAGAAATTGTAAACAATCACGACAAGCATCACTTAGAGTTGACGATTGAAATGGCAATTTTCCATAAGCTCTGAGTAGACCAATACTGTTCGTGTAGAAATGGTTCACAAGACGTGTGTACTTCTTTGGAACAACTTTCAAGACAGATATTGCAATCAAATGCTATCTTAAAGTCAAGAAATCCGACCATAGTATGACGTCTTTGGGTTTACCTTTCCTAAAATCTGTGTAGTGAGTATATAGTTTATACATCTACGTTTAGGTCTGAAACTAGTCTAGTTTTGCCGTGTTTAGTCCTCATGAATCCCTCAATAGTCAGACGATTATAGAGGTCATTATTTTAGATAATATTTTAGTCGAATCGATTCCTCTGTGGTTATCGCAGAAGGATTTCTGCTCTTAAAAACTGATTAAGTAAGCTATCGAAGCCAGTAAGATTTATTTGCATCTACCTTTTAAACTGTAGCTGGTATTGCAGTAATTTTAGCAGCTAAAACTTGACCACACTCTTAAAGATCTCTGGGGTTAATCCATCAGGCCTCCATCGCTTTTGATTATCCATAGTTTTTTCAACCCTGTTCCCATCCACCCTCAGTTTGATGTTGTCCTAATTCCCTTACCTAGATTACATTTTTCAGTTCAGTGTATGGGTTTATTTCTTTTTTCCAATGAAATAAAAAACGACCCCATATACTTTTTATGTTGCTTGTGAATCGATGGTCACCTTTGTTTAATAAAAAGAACTCTCCAGAGCATGTGAGTTGTGTTATGACATCAGCGGTCTCATTTTATGCTTCTGGCAACATAGTACCCTGAATGTATTAGTTAGGAATTTCTCAAGTAGTTGTCTTCAGGTCGAAACGATTTTCCTTCACCTGTAAAGCGGGCGCTTGTAAACTTGGTGGATAATAACATGTACCATTCAGTATTTAACTTAATATATCAAATATCTTTTCTTGTTCTGTTACTTCTATTGCTTTGTAAACTGCAAACTGGTATGACTTCATCTCAAATTTCTTGTCATCAGGTCATATTTAATGTAGTCTAGTCATCTTTACTTCGCTACAAGTATTTTTATGCTTTGGGTGTATTCTTATCGAAGATATATGACATGAATGCCTCAGTCTATATACACCTATGATATTTCAGTTCTTATCGTAAACTTCATTGCTTCTAGCTTGCCCAGATGAGCTGTTCAACCGGCTTTGCCAGTCGAATTCCGCCATATTTTTAAAACGCTTAAAGAAATCAACATAGCTTTTCTACCGGTTGAATCTCGAGTGTTTTCGTTGGATTCACCCATGAGCTTTCAATATTACTTCAATCCAGTAGCCAGACAACAGGGTTCGGGACAACAACTTGAGCGAATCGCTGAACAGATTGCGACGTTGTGTGCCACATTAGGTGAATATCCCGTTATTCGTTACCGCACGTAAGTTATTTTAAGCAATTCATCTTTCTAACCTCAGTATTGATTTTACCTGCATGACATCCAGAAGTTTATTAAATTTTCATTAACATTGGCTAAGTTATTGGTCTATGCAGCATTGGGACATTTTAAAAATTACTTACTTTAATGTAGCTGTTTTCGTGTAATTGGTATTCGAAAATGATGCTTTTTGCTTTCATGGAAATTATTAATCTACATCTTATTCTGGTAAAAACACTAACACTCTGAATTTAAGTAATCTATAGAATAGAGGCTTCTATCATCTTATTCTTTCAAGCTGTATTGTTACCTATAGCACCACGAATTTTTCGTTTGTAGTTCTGGGACTGTGTTACTCCATTTCTCTGATCAACCTTCCTTTGATAACACGTGATTCTGATTTAAACTTTTGTAAATCCCACTGATATTTTAGTTGAGGTTAGGGAATGTAGCTTTTTAAATGATCATTGAATTATGATAGTTCCCGGCTAATATGATATTTTATTACGATGTAATTTTCCCATTTTAACATTCATATAGTGTGTCTATATAAATATATTCCATTCACTAATAGTAGGATGTATGAACTTTTATAAATTGATTCAAATAAACAATTTTGAAATTAAGATATTATTATTCACTGAAGCATTGATCGCCTTTTGTGAGTTCACCGAATATATTTGATTCCTACATAAATGTATGTATTATGAATAAGAATTTCTAGAGCTTATAGACGTTTGATGCACGATTCACATAATTTCCAGTAAATTCAGATTTAGTCATCCAGTATTCAACGGAAAAAACAGTTGTTTTAACAGTTTCAATCTTTTTTGGATCATTTTAGTCAGTTTGAAAGGAACGCCGAGTTCGCACAGTTAGTTCAACAAAAATTGGATGCATACAAAGCGGACGATCCTCAAATGGGCGAGGTTAGTCAAATGAAACTTCAGTACTCAAAGTAAAATATCGTAAATCTATTTAAATATATACTCTATCAAGTTTTTAGTATTCTAAATAGTTTTTACGAAGTTAGTTCAATCCATCGATAATGTGATTTTTTTTATTATCAAAAACATGTTTTTTGTTCCAGGGTCCACAAAAAGAAAGAAGTCAATTGATTTTACTTGACCGGGGATTCGATCCTATCTCACCTATTTTACATGAACTCACTTTCCAAGCCATGGCTTACGACTTACTGGCAATTGAAAATGACGTTTACCGGTAAACTGGGTTGCTTTTGTTCACTAGTTATTTTTTGAGTGCGTGATACTATTCCTTATAATAATAATAGTAATAATAATAATAATGCATTGTGCACCAACCTAAGGGCTGTGTAATTTGTTTTTGTGACCTGGTTCTTCTGTCTTATTATGTCAAATCTGTTACGTAATCAGGGTTGACACTGATTGACCAAATAATCAAGTTGATTAATTCATTAGTACCAATAAAAAACGGGCATAAAAGCACATGACAATTCATCAAACTAGTCATTTTTTTAATCGATTTACGCAGTGATCAGTTTTAATCAAATAGTTTATTCAGTCACTGCTTAGAATTCAATGATGAAACAATATATTTTTTAGCTGATCTATGATTTTTTTTTAGATACTGAATGAATGTTTCCTATTTAATGGAATTCATTTAATTTACTACAAACAGTAGTGAAGTTCTAGAAAAGCATGCTTAATATGGGTAATATTTAATGAGTAATTTGTCACATAAAAGAGGTGTTTGAGGATAGAAGTCAATTTTTTTAGTGTTCGCTGTATATCAAAACTTGCGTTACATCATTTGTTAATATACTTAAATTAACAGTCTGATAAGACGTACAAATTTTACATTAGAAGTATTTATATCGATTTCATTTTCGCAATTTTCCTAATGCATGCGTTGGTCCATCGACGCGACTGTTAAATGTATATTAGTGATTTTGTTAAAAACGTCAGATACATATTTATAGTCAATAAGTCCTGATTAACCTTATTATTCTTTTCTACCATTATTCAAATCAAAAGCAAATACAAAGTTACTGGACACACTTTGTGCTGTTTCTAGTACAACATAGTGCAAAACATTAAATATGGTTATTTTATTTGTATTCATATACCTATCTGTGAATAAAATTATTGGTTTTATATTGATAGTGGCAATCAGTGAAATCCATAGTCAGTATGCTATCATTAGTCGGAAAATAGTGGTTTAGTAGTTAAAGCATCTGAATTTCAACTGCGGAATTATACGTACCAAGCCTTCTCGATTGGAACGACCGGTTAGCCTCATTGGCCTTCATACAGCTGAATATATTAACTTAGTACTGACTATTAGTGCAAAAGTAGTAAGTTGTATTGGAATGGAAATGGAATAAATTATAAAGTTTTTTCTCAAACTAATAACTTTTCTTTATTTTGAAATAATGGATATTCCAGTTACATCAACACATCAGGTCCTGAGGAACGTGTTAAAGAAATTATCTTGGATGAAACTGATGAGCTTTGGTGTGAACTTCGTCATCAACACATAGCAGTCGTTTCACAACAGGTTAATGTTTTTGATATTTAATGAATATCTGAGTGTCTTTATATTACAAATGGCTTAGAGAATAAGAAATACCATTCAATAACTATTGTTTAGGATTCACGCTTGATGTATGGAGGTTACCAATACATTGTTTTCTATAAGCTTCATATCTGCGACCAAAATCATTCAGTTCAATGGCTTTTTAACATTCTAATTGTCTAGACCGAATATCTCAATGTCTAAATACCTAGGAGGCCATAAACCCCACTTTTTTCAGAGCTAAAAATACTACCCTGTTACTCTAATTTTAATAGGTAAAGTAGAGTTAAAATATATAACTAACTGGTTAGAAGTTGACTACTGTAATTAAAAGTAACCTAAAGATTCCTTTGCTCAATATTATTGTGTTTAGGGAGTGCCCAGATTTTCTAGTATCATTAGGAGTGTGACAGCGAATTTATTGATGAGAGCAGCGTAAATGCTGTAGTTACAGTGAACATGATATGTAGAAACCTCGGTAATACTACAAGTTCCAGTTTCGTAGAATTGCATATACACACTTACAGTCAGGTGGATAAAGTATACATAATTAGTTATAACGGGTTGAATTCAATAGCATGCGTAATTAAAATTATTTTTAGTGAATACAACTCAACCCGTAACAATAATCTTTGTGTGGTTGTGTGACGTTCGATGTGATTTTTACGCAACTTCTATTGAGAATTCTAAGTTCTGTAGTAGAAATTCTCGAAATGTCGAAAATCAATGGTTCAACACCATAAATATCAAGGAATTGTGTATTTTTATATGACTACGGACTCCAAACTCAGAGAAATGATTGGTATTTGGTTAGCGTTTTTATTTATTCATCTCTAACACAATGAGAACTGAGATAAAAAGCTTTAGGTAACCAGAAATTACAAAGTAGATTTTTAAAGCATTGGTCAAGCTGCCATTCATCGAAGTTTTATGTTTCTTGTATTCGAAGCAACAGAGAAAGTTTTCGAATGAACACCCTAAAAAACTACACTACTTCATAAATTTACCATCAATTTCGGTTTCGTCAAGATTTATAAGGTTGGAAAACATAGTTCATTAGTTAATCAAAACCATTAAAGTAGTCTCTTCATCTTTTTGTAAATCATAAACATGATTTTGTCATTTGTTTCCTGTTGTTTTATTCTAATAGGTTACTAGCAAATTGAAAAAGTTCGCTGAAGATAAACGTATGGTTAACGCAGGCGATAAAACTACAATGCGTGATTTAAGTCAAATGTTAAAAAAAATGCCTCAATATCAAAAAGAGTTATCCATGTATTCAACACATTTTCATTTAGCTGAGGATTGTATGCAAACTTATCAAAATCATGCTAATAAACTATGTAAAGTCGAACAAGTAAGTTTTTTTTAAAAAACAACTTAGTGAATCAATACGTAAGTATTTTACGACTAATTTTATACAGATCAGACTAAACAACTTCATTTATTGGAAGTTTATTTATTTAGTACCTAACATTTTGATTATGTAAGATTACCAATCTATCAGTTGGACTATTAAAAATTACCACATTGATGTACAAGAAAAAGATTATTTGCGTTATTTCGTTCTGGCTTTGTTTTTACGTGCAAATAGCAAGTGGAATAAACTTTTCACAATTCAATCTTTAGTTTTGAAGTTGTCATAACGTTGTCCAACTTTTAAAGTAGTACGTCCGAATAATGAGCTATATCGGTTAATCTGAGTCGTTGGTGTTTGTTTGTTTATTTACTCATCCCTTTTGCTCATCTTCATCTTAAACAGTGTCATCATGTAATTCTATTTTCTGTCTTCTTCCCCTCACGTTGTTGATAGGAAATGTAACGCTTTGAGCTATTATACATTTTTCAGTCTGTCTACTTTTAGATAATATGGCGATTTAAATTTTCGAGTATTACTTTTAAAAGGAATAATTCAACCGGAATCATAATCATTTTAAACTACTTTTCAGGATTTAGCCATGGGTACTGATGCAGAAGGTGAACGAGTCAAAGATCATATGCGTACAATGGTTCCTATTTTAATTGATCAGTCAGTTTCAGCATATGATAAACTTCGTGTGATTCTTTTGTATGTTATACAACGGGGCGGTATAAATGAAGAAAATTTAGCTAAATTAGTTCAACATGCTCAAATCCCCTCATCACAGGCGTGTATTGTGCGTAATTTGATGCATTTAGGAGTTCCTGCTATCCAGGATGCTTCAGGAGCTGTAAGCAGTTTTTTCTCTAAAAATAAAGCTTCTACTAAACTTCCGAATTACTACTTATAAATAGTGTATTAACATTTTTGTTTATGCACTTTTTTAATTACTTGTTTAAGAGATAGATTGATTTAGATTTTCAACTTGATAGATTGGGTAATGTAGAAATGTTTAGTAAACTTTGTTCGAAACCAGGAAATGGATGTCAGCTGCGAAGACTTATAATCTCTCGGAATAATCACTTCTACCCAGTTTATATTTCAGTCGGTTCTGCACACTGGAGCACATGAAATTAATTACTTTCCATGCTGTGAGTGCTCACCGTATTATGTACAGTATCATACATATTTTTAGGTGTTTAGTATAACCTGTCTGCCGGATTGATAATAAACTATCATAAAACAACCTTGGTTATAGTGTTAGTGTAGGCTTTGGTATGTTTGGTGCTGCAAATATTATGAGGATAGGTAGCAACCAGAAAATTCACATTCTCGTCATATTATTTATATGGTGTATTTATCAGTGGTCTATTTTTTATGCTAAAGATAGTGTAAAAAGTTACCATTCTTTTTAAACCGCACTTATACTCTCTCCTGTCTCCAGCTCTTATTATTTATCTAGATAGTTAACCACTCTTCACTTTCACATGAAATGCCGTGATAAAAAAATATGTAGTTAGATTGTCCGAAATGTATCGCGCGATTAAACCATATTTTTGGATCAACTTGACCTTTTCATCACATCGTGCGAGTTTATTTAAAAGAGGACTAACTAATATCAAATTCCCTTAAATAAACGACTATCATTGTTAAACTTTAAATATAAGTGACATGAAAACAGTTTTTTTCGAAGCTTGATAACTGAATTATTCATTTGTAGAAGTAAATCTTTTTCAAAAGAATATCATATATATCTCCTTGTTTTTGGGGTAAACTTTTCAGGTCGCTTATGTCAAGGTAAGGTTGCATACCGTCTCTTAAAGCTGATTTAAGCACAAATGACTAAACTTACTTGAAATCCTCTGAAATTATGTAACATTCTAACGGTCTAATCCCTGCGTTTCTCATTACGTTTACATTAGAAACCAATCATTTATTCAATATTATGTCTTTACGAAGGAAAAACTGTTATGTGTGCAAACAAAATATGGTGAAATATGAATGTCGGGGCGATAGTAACCATACTTTTTCAATGTTAAATAAAAGTGCAATATCCAGCGTTTTCGAGCATAACAGATGAATGCTGTAACTAAGAACATAATTTTCACTGAGGATCTCATTCCAAGCTCTAACTCACGATTTTTGCCTTTTTTTCATCCAACAATTCAGGACACTACAGCAGATATATTTTGATGGTTTTGGATGACTAAATTGAAGTCATCAGTGAAAATTACACTCATATTTTCAGCACATACTGAATAAACTAAAAAACGCAAAATTTATTGAACATCGAAAAAGCATGATTATCTTCGCCCAAATGACGTAGCTGAATAACCTTATTTTACAATCGTTCAGTCTTTTAACCCGTTAACAGTATATTCAAGTTATTTGACGAAATTTATTTGTTATTTTTAAACAGTTATTGTAAGTTCACAATAAACTTTGAAAAGGTTTAGCCCAACATTAATTCACGTTATATCATATTCCAATTTACTGGGTATATATATTTGCCCCCAAATGCACTGGTATGACCGAGAGTGGGGAGTTCGCTCTCCCTCTCGAAATGCTCTCACATGGCCACGCGTATACAGCCTCTGTCAGGGAAGTCCTAATCACTGCCTTCTCGTGGCGGGGGTGTTGTTTACGAAAATGAGAGGACGAAAAGCGAATGTCCGGCGCTTAAACCGGATTCCAAACCAAATCAAAGTCGTACATAAGCTCCAGTATCCTGAGGGAACAAATGGCGTATGAACCAATCGTTGGTCACCGTCTACCATGGGACTGCATCTCCTCACGATGCTCTACTGCCTTGTGGGTTAGACCTTTAGGTCAAAGGCTCAGGGTGTGGCCTCTTAAGAAAACCACCTGCTTCAGTCTGGGCACCCGGGTAGTATCGCAGCCCTCACACATATCGAATGTGATTTGTGTGGCGCATATGTATTTGATGCCTCCTTGTACCAATATCTCTGTATATATATTTACAATACAAAAGGACATTAAAATATGCATCAAACAATAAGAAAATGAGATTGTTAAGACAGATAATATAAACTGAGTATGGCAAAAAAAACAATATATGAATGAATGTGATTAAAGAATAATAGGAAAAAGAGTTCATCTAAATAGAATATAACCAAAAAAGAATTTTCTCAGTGAAGTTAGTTCTCCTGACTTTTATAAAGTAAAACAAAATTACATTAGAATAACCAATCGCTTCTCATTTTAAACCATATCATATAACGTCTCAAACTATTGAGTTACATCTTCTGTCAGATCTTAATCAACGAAGAAGTTGTACAGGACCGACAGATTTCAATCCTATACAACTTTCTTTCATCATTATATAGTAATTAACTAATTAAAAATCAAATTCTTTATTAAACTTTCTTTAATAAAATGTTCTATTCATCGTTTTTTTTAATAAAAAAATAATTGGTGTTACAACTTTTTTTGCTTATTTTAATTTTAACAGCTAAGTAGTTATGTATCATTAATTTTCACACTAAAAGATAGTGCTCTAAACCAATGTTTATACAAACTTTTACTTGATTGATCGTTTATTTTATCATTCTATGGGTTATTTTTTTCCAAAAATACTTTAATCTAGTACCTAGTTATTATTTATTTAGTTATTTGAACACATAAATATTGGTACAAAATGGCACCAAATATATATGCGCCATACCATATTTGTGTGTGTGGGCTGTGATACTCCCCGGGTGCCCAGACTGAAGCAGGTGGTTTTCTTAAGAGGCCACACCCCGAGCCTTTGACCTAAAGGTCTAACCCACAAGGCAGTAGAGCATCGTGAGGAGATGCAGTCCCATGGTAGACGGTGACCAACGATTGGTTCATACGCCACTTGTTCCCTCAGGATACTGGAGCCCATGTGCACATTGATTTGGTTGGAATCCGGTTAAAGCGCCGGACATTCGCTTTTCGTCCTCTCATTTTCGTAAACAACACCCCCGCCACGAGAAGGCAGTGATTAGGACTTCCCTGACAGAGGCTGTATACGCGTGGCCATGTGAGAGCATTTCGAGAGGGAGAGCGAACTCCCCACTCTCGGTCATACCAGGGCATTTGGGGGCAGTATTTAGTTACCATTCTTCTTAATTCTAGTTTAATTACTCCTTTCAATAATGAACTATAGTATCTGTACGTAATATTCATTTTATTATATAATACAATTTATTGTTATTAATTTATATAACTATAAATAGATGATTATATTTAAAACAAATTATGAACAGTAAAGATAAAATGTATTTTAAGGATTAATTTAATAATAACTATGAAATGATATGAGTATTATAATAATATAGTATTTTGTTTTTGTTCTTTTTATTGATTATCCAAATTATAATGCTTGTTCCTGTTAATTATAATTAATGAATTGAATACAATTCCGGTTAACAATGATTATGTTCTCATTCATCCATATTTTTCATAAGCTTTAAGTTAGTGATAAATAATGTAGATAGAAGAAAGTAACCGATATTTTTCTTTGTATTGTGTTTTTTTTTTATCAATGGTAAGCGTAAAATCTATCTCTATGTTAATGATGTGTAAAGTTTGAATATCTTTGACTTGAACATTCAATTATTGAACTGAAACATTATTATCTTCATAAATGTTCTTTTTTCTTTGAAGTGTTGTAGAATATTTATTACTCCTTTAAAATGAGTTGTAATATGCGTTTATATGTCGTGTTAACATTTTAAGTCAATTATCTCGTTAAAAGTTTTTTGTTTACTTCATATCATGTGTCAAGTTGAATATTTAGTCAACAATACATTCGAATCACCACTATTATGCACTACAACTCCCGGGTGGGTAATGTTAGGATTTGGCTGAGTGATTTGAAGTTGAGGTAATAGATCAACCGATGAGCTTATGAATGAATCTTAGTCTAAAATAAGTAACACACTGTACTTGTTGTTATCCTTGACCTTGATTTAATGATTGGTCAATTAAATCAAAATTGATCGCTATTTAATAAAAATAATAATAATATCTATCCATTCAAACACTACGCTCAACTATCAATGACCCTATCGATTTATATAGAAATGATGAGGAGAAAGCTCAAGTGTCAATAAAAGCTAAAACAGTATTTTATTCCATCAAGCTACCACTAATGTTGCGGTGTAACTTTCTGGTTTATTTTTACTAAAATGTTATTGTTTTTCTTCAAATCGGAACAGATATGATTCCACTTTTTCCCCTTTCCACTTGCTCATTAGCTTTCACTGGAAACCTTTAGTTTTCCTTACCTCATGTTACTAAAAAAGGTATATAACAGTGTAATGAAATGTTCATGATGATAATAACATCATGTCAATTATCAGAAACATTTATATTATAACTATTGTTGTCCATATTTTTCAGTCTTCTTTTTTGTTAAAATAGGGTATAGGGAGGCGTAAACTTCCTCAGCCTTATTTGCCTGCTAATCGACGTCAACGGGAGGATGGTCCACGATATCAAATGTCTCGATGGACACCTTATATCAAAGATCTTATGGAGGTAAGTAATCTGACTAATAATTCAAATACTGTTTTGCTTCATTAACGATTAATGTGATATGCTAAAACGATTCGTTGTTGAGCAAGGGCTGTACACACACTTCTTATAATGCTGATATGGGAAAAAGATAAGTGGAATCATGAAAATGTTAATTAAGGAAAAGGAATTTTAATGAGTATCATAAGTGAATGTTTTATGTTATTCAATGTACTTAGGATAGTGGTATAATACATAAAATTTGTCGACTTAATATTTTCGATGTGGCAAAAATAGTTCAAGAGGATGTTCAATAGTGATTAAATTATCTGAATGAATAATAAAATTATTACCCTTAGCGTTAACACAATGTACAATACCATTGAGAAACAATTACAAAAATACCTATGTGCTGTACAACATTGATCAACTATGTTATTGTTCGTCTAACATCTGACTGTTTGATTCAAAGAAAAATGTTTTACAATCTTATTGTTGCTTTAATTATAAATTGTTTGTTTTATTTTACAATGAGAATGAGAATCGTTTGAGACGAGTGTGTCGAGAATAAAAGTCAGTTATATATTACTTGTTTAAATCTGATTGGAGGTTAGTCAGCTTTTATTATCTCAGCTGATTAACTAAGTATCAATGCAATAACTCAGACTATTCGTTAACTCGGAAATCGATTGATTTTTTTCGTTCCATCCATAGATGGAAATTTTTGGAGATATTTAGTCAAGAGAGAGAAAGAGAAGTTTTGGAAACTAAGATGTATTTTCGAATTGTTTGTTACTTTTATCCTATTCTTTTTCAGTTAAAAATTATGAACATGGTAACAGTGTAGATTATTTCATGTATGTTATATTTCATCTTTTACCTCTTATTTTGTTGTAATCTCTCAGTGACATAATATAAGTGTACTAATCACTTCGACGTTTTTTAACTTAAGGATGCTGCTGAAGATAAATTGGATCCGAAATTATTTCAGTACTTTGGTGGTGGCCCTGTTCGTGGTCCTGGAACGCGTACAGGAAATGCACCAATGTCTGCAAGATATGGAATGTGGCATCGGGATAAAAGTCAACAACCACGTTCTGGACCTAGATTAATATTCTTTGTAATCGGTGGAATATCCTATTCAGAAATCCGTTGTGCATATGAATTAATGAATACTGCGCTAGGTAAACAATGGGATATTATCGTTGGTGGTACCCATATACTCGTGCCGGAAGCATTCTTAAAGGACTTGGAGAAACTGTCTTATCCACCAGGGACAGCGCCTCCATCGGTTAGCAGTGGGACATCAGTTATTGTAGGTGCTGGTGGGGAACCAGTGTGAAATCAGTATACCCCATGAATGATTTATATTTCAATATGTAATTCACAAGAGATTGCAAGAGATTTCCTTATGATTTCCACTGAATAACAACTTTATTTACTTATATTGATTTATCTTTCGTCGCACAATTCTTCGTTAGTAAATATCATTTCATTGATGCTGATGATATAATTGTTACTATTAATATTACTATTATTGCCAACAAGAACTTCATTTGTGTTTAGCACTTCACCTAATCACTCACAACATTCCTCATAATTGAAGCTGTTGTCTTTTTTCCAACAAAAGACGTACTGTGTTAAGTAAACGTGCTCAATGCATATATCTGATACAGAACTATCCGTTTATTTACAATATTTTTTCAACGGTGCATTACACTTTATAATATAATTATTAAGTCTTTATTCAATTACTATTTGTGTTTATTAATTGTTGTTGTGTTCTGTGCATTTTTTCATTAACGGTGTCTGATTCACTAATTATTTTAGTTTCATGCTTTCATTATATTTAGTAATTTGTGTTGTGTAATATCTCAATTTCATCTATCCTATTTCTTTGTTCACTAAGATCCTTGTTATTTATTTGCCTTTGTTTGTCAGTCTTCTGTGAACTCACTATTGAAATCATTTCTGTTTGGTTGTTGTATCAGGGAATTATTGTATTATCTTATTATTTCACTATAAGTTTTCATTATCTTTATTCAGTTAATCTTTGTAATGGAATGTGAGAATTGACAATATTTCAATATGGTACGCATAATCCATGTTTTCATCAACACCATTTCTGCAAATACTAAAATACATTTAATTGACATTCAATTGAAATGATGAACTAAAGTAAGTTTATGTTCTGATTCGGATAAAATGTATTTTGTATGTGTGTGTGTGTCTGCTTATAATCTGTTCGTTTACCTATCTAGTCGTCGTGTTTCACTTCTCTCTTACTTGTTCTACAATCTTTTTCTTCTGTGATCATCAATGTTTATTTTCGTTTACTGTTTTGTGCTTAGCGTATTTCTTCTTCCAGTTACAATATTCCTTGGTATTATTTTTATCACTAATGATCATTACATTAATTACTTGCTCCTTTTTATTTTGGCTATTAATTCATCTTATTATACTGGTAATTCATTTCGTTCTATATCTTTTCCAATTTTTATTCATTATTACAATCGGTTAAGTCTTGTTGCAACATCATTACCTTGCCTTTCTACAACTATATTCATGCGAGCATAGTTGTGTACGTGCTTGTTTGTAACTCTTGAGAGAACAAGTACACTCAAGAGTTACAAACAAGCACGTACACAACTATGCTCGCATGAATATAGTTGTAGAAAGGCAAGGTAATGATGTTGCAACAAGACTTAACCGATTGTAATAATGAATAAAAATTGGAAAAGATATAGAACGAAATGAATTACCAGTATAATAAGATGAATTAATAGCCAAAATAAAAAGGAGCAAGTAATTAATGTAATGATCATTAGTGATAAAAATAATACCAAGGAATATTGTAACTGGAAGAAGAAATACGCTAAGCACAAAACAGTAAACGAAAATAAACATTGATGATCACAGAAGAAAAAGATTGTAGAACAAGTAAGAGAGAAGTGAAACACGACGACTAGATAGGTAAACGAACAGATTATAAGCAGACACACACACACATACAAAATACATTTTATCCGAATCAGAACATAAACTTACTTTAGTTCATCATTTCAATTGAATGTCAATTAAATGTATTTTAGTATTTGCAGAAATGGTGTTGATGAAAACATGGATTATGCGTACCATATTGAAATATTGTCAATTCTCACATTCCATTACAAAGATTAACTGAATAAAGATAATGAAAACTTATAGTGAAATAATAAGATAATACAATAATTCCCTGATACAACAACCAAACAGAAATGATTTCAATAGTGAGTTCACAGAAGACTGACAAACAAAGGCAAAGAAATAACAAGGATCTTAGTGAACAAAGAAATAGGATAGATGAAATTGAGATATTACACAACACAAATTACTAAATATAATGAAAGCATGAAACTAAAATAATTAGTGAATCAGACACCGTTAATGAAAAAATGCACAGAACACAACAACAATTAATAAACACAAATAGTAATTGAATAAAGACTTAATAATTATATTATAAAGTGTAATGCACCGTTGAAAAAATATTGTAAATAAACGGATAGTTCTGTATCAGATATATGCATTGAGCACGTATACTTTAACACAGTACGTCTTTCTTTGGAAAAAAGAAAATACGCTCAACTCTTGAGCGTATTTTCTTGTTCTCTATCGACGTTTTTCCTCATTTCCTTCCTCATACACACATACGCAATCCCTTACAGATCATTGATTTAATGTGAGCAGAAAACATTACCAGCTTTCTTTATCTACGTTTATTTAATTATTTATTGGTTTGTTTATGTTGTTTTTGATATTTGCTTATTTATTACTTCCTCCAATTTTCTATATCATATATATACATAGTTATTAAATTAGTATTGTTCATAGAATTTTTGTGTCAATACTACGTGCATTTGTCAATGATTATGCCTTCTCCCTTTCCGTCTTCAGTCACACTGTTTCTGAGGCTTACGCGACATTCGATAATTAGTGTGGATCACACTCGATACAACTCCGCCTGTAGCTCTAATAGGGTTACTGCCGGTCCCAAGCCCGGGTAAAGGAGGAGGGTTGGGCATGGGGTTAGCGTCCCCATCCCGTAGAAAACTAACTCGCTAAAAAAACGCTTACCAGAAAAAATAATCCAAACCATTTAAACTCTGCCCTGGGAGTTAGAAGGTCTTCAGTTAGAAGAATTATGACGCTTCATGGTGAAAGCCGAGTTCCTTCGGAAGCCACGAGGCCGATGCCCCTTCTAACAACCAGAGCAAAAATTTTTATAGGTACATGGAACGTTCGAACAATGTGGGAAACCGGGAAGACCAGTCAAATAGCAATGGAAATGAGGAGATACAACTTAGCAGTACTGGGAATCAGCGAAACCCACTGGACCCAAGCTGGACAGAAAAGGCTAGCTACGGGAGAGATGCTGCTATACTCCGGTCACGAGAGGACAATGCTCCACACACTCAGGGAGTCGCTCTTATGCTGTCCAAAGTAGCACGAAATGCACTTGTAGGATGGGAGTCTCACGGATCCAGAATCATCAAAGCATCATTCAAAACAAAGAAGGAGGGGATCTTAATGAATATTATCCAATGTTATGCACCCACCAATGATAGCAACGACGACATTAAAGATCAGTTCTACGAGCGGCTGCAGTCAATCATTGAGAAATGCCAAGAAAGGACCTAACTATTCTGATGGGAGATCTAAATGCCAAAGTCGGAATAGACAACACTGGATATGAAGATATTATGGGACGACATGGACTGGGAGAGAGAAACGAAAATGGAGAAAGATTTGCAAATTTGTGTGCATTCAACAAATTGGTCATAGGAGGCACAATATTTCCACACAAGCGTATACACAAGGCTACATGGATCTCACCGGACCACACTACAGAGAACCAAATAGATCATATTTGCATCAACAAAAAAATGGAAGATGTGAGAACCAGGAGAGGTGCTGACGTAGCTTCAGATCACCACCTAGTTGTAGCCAATTTAAAACTGAAGCTAAAAAGAACTGGACAAGTGGACAAACAGCACTACAAAGGTTCAATACAGCCTTCCTTCGAGATACTGACAAACTCAATGAATTCAAGATAGCTCTCAACAACAGGTTCCAAGCCTTACAAGATCTACTGAAGAAGAAGAAACTACTATGGAGGACAACTGGAAAGGCATCAAGGAAGCATTAACTTCAACGTGTCAAGAGGTTCTGGGCCTAAAGAAACACCATCATAAGGAATGGATCTCTATAGAAACACTGGACAAGATCAAAGAAAGGAAGAACAAGAAGGCAGCAATTAACAACAGCCGAACACGAGCAGAGAAAGTCCAAGCACAAGCTGAATACATAGAAGCAAACAAACAAGTGAAGAGGAGCATTAGAGCCGACAAGAAGAAATACGTGGAAGAACTAGCAACGACGGCAGAAAAAGCTGCTAGAGAAGGAAATATGAAACAGCTTCACGATACAACGAAGAAACTAGCAGGGAAATACAGTAAACCAGAGAGGCCGGTCAAAGACAAAGAAGGCAAGCCAATCACCGAAATTCAACAACAGCGTAACAGATGGGTAGAATACTTCGAGGAACTCCTGAATAGGCCGGCTCCAATGAATCCACCGGACATCGAAGCAGCACACATAGATCTTCCTATAGATGTCAACCCACCAACGACGGAAGAAATTAGAATGGCCGTCAGACAAATCAAGAACGGGAAAGCAGCAGGACCCGACAACATACCAGCTGAAGCACTGAAATCAGACATCGAAGCAACCACAAGCATGCTATACCTTCTATTCAAAAAGATTTGGGAGGAGGAACAAGTGCCAATGGACTGGAAAGAAGGACACCTCGTCAAGATTCCAAAGAAAGGAGATCTGAGCAAATGTGAAAACTACAGAGGCATTACACTACTGTCAATACCAGGGAAAGTCTTCAACAGAGTGTTGCTGAACCGGATGAAGGATGCAGTAGACGCCCAACTTCGAGATCAACAAGCTGGATTCCGTAAGGATCGGTCGTGCACAGACCAAATTGCAACACTACGGATCATCGTCGAACAATCAGTTGAGTGGAACTCATCACTATACATCAACTTCATTGATTATGAAAAGGCATTCGACAGTGTAGATAGGAGGACATTATGGAAACTTCTTCGACACTACGGAGTTCCTGAGAAGATTGTCAACATTATCCGGAACTCATACGACGGACTACAGTGCAAAGTAGTGCATGGAGGACAGCTGACAGATGCATTCCAAGTAAGGACTGGAGTCAGACAAGGCTGTTTACTCTCTCCCTTCCTCTTTCTTCTGGTGGTCGACTGGATTATGAAGACCTCGACATCTGAAGGAAAACACGGAATACAATGGACAGCTCAGAATCAATTAGACGATTTGGACTTCGCAGACGACCTAGCCCTCCTATCACGTACACACGAACAGATGCAGATGAAGACAGCCAGTGTAGCAGCAGTCTCTGCATCAGTAGGCCTCAGCATACACAAAGGGAAAACCAAGGTCCTCAAATTCAAAGCGGAGAACAGCAATCCAATCACTCTTGATGGCGAAACTCTGGAAGATGTAGAGTCCTTCACATACCTAGGAAGCATCATCGATGAACAAGGAGGTTCAGATGCAGACGTAAAGGCGAGGATCGGCAAAGCAAGGGTCGCATTCCTACAATTGAAGAACATATGGAACTCAAAACAACTTTCAACCAATATCAAAGTGAGAATCTTCAATACGAACGTCAAGGCAGTTCTACTGTATGGAGCTGAAACTTGGAGAACTACAACAACCACATCAAGAAAGTACAAGTATTTATAAATAGCTGTCTACGCAAGATACTCAACATCCACTGGCCGGATACCATCAGCAATAGCCTTCTGTGGGAGAGAACAAACCAACTTCCAGCTGAAGAAGAAATTAGGAAAAGACGATGGAAATGGATAGGACATACATTACGCAAATCGTCAAACTGCATCACGAGGCAAGCCCTAACTTGGAACCCTGAAGGGAAGCGAAAAAGAGGAAGGCCAAAGAACACATTGCGTCGGATAATAGAAGCAGATATGAAAAGGATGAATTACAACTGGACGGAGCTAGAAAGGATTGCCCAGGACAGGGTTGGATGGAGAATGCTGGTGAGTGGCCTATGCTCCTTCACGAGGAGTAACAGGCGTAAGTAAGTAAGTACACTCGATGCGTTATATATATGTATATCCGATAATGAAAAATGTTAATTTTATGTTTCTCTTGGTAATCACATGTAACACATTACCAACCACCTCAGTCGATGGATATTTAACCTAATCAACAAACTTTCTATCTTCTCTACTGTACCTCAGCATTGCTTATTGGGTGACCTCAACATACACCAGCAAAGCTTAGAAGGCATCTGTAGTCGAATATTAGTCGCTTACTAATGTTTTCTATCCTTGAAAGCTGTTTTTCATAGTCATAAAATAGAGAAAAAACAACTGCGCAGTGTACTCCTGGCTTCGCTTGCAGATAAACCTCTCACCTTAGCCACAAAGACGTAATTTGGCAAAACTCAAGAGAACTCCCTAATTTCAGCACCGAGATTCTTTCAAATATCAGCTCACCAGTGCTAATGAAGCTCCAATCATTAACGAATTGATCAACTTACTCAACTACTTCACTCAAAAATAATCAATGTAGGCAATGGTGTGGATCAGCGTGAAGCAGCATTTTAGATTAAGAGGAAGAGAAACACTCCAGACATGCTGGGATTGTTACTCAAGCTACCAAAGGACTCCATGGTCAGTGTCTTCATTGAATATAACTATGTCATCTGCGTACTTTAAGTTCATAAGTGGACCATTTGGTAAGTGATCAATCCCTGAAAGTTAGATGAAGAAAGTGTGATTTCTAGGGAGAAATGTATGAGATGAAAAAAAGATAGTGAACAATTCTGACGAAGACTACTTGGAGTTGAGAATTCTGGTGGCAAATCGTGTTTGAGTGGGAGGTTTCGATTTTTTGTGTACTTAGTAGGTAATTTATACTCCCAAACTCCAACATAATCTCTCGGATACCGGAGTTGAGTCCCACCTTAAGGCCAAGAAATACAGCTACATTCGGTCGTTGTTATGCTTATATTCTAAAATCTGACGGAGAATGAATAGTGTAGTCAGTATGTTTGCGTGCAGATTCGAAGTCAGCCTGACTTAGTTTCGCTTTTCACAAGTTCTCTTAGGCGTTAAATGATGATAGAAGCTAATATTTGAAGAATGTACTCCTCTCCTATAAAGTGAGACGACCAGTGATCGAGGCCAACTCTCAAACTCTACTATTATATCAATCAGATTCACTGTTAAGACTAGATCGTCATCGGTAAAGACCTCCGAAGTTAACCTACCAAGTTCTGCCGCTGTCCCTTGATCCAACTGACCGTAAGTGATTAGAATAACTACTTTGGAATTTGTGAAAAGTAGATTATCATTTACTAATGAAAATATCCAGTAAACTAAATTTAGTTAATTCGACAGTTATTAGATCAGCATCCGTTTTTAAACAAAAATAAAATTATGCTCTCTAATGTTATTGTAGTTTCGATTGACTCTTTAATTATACTCTAAAGAGAACTGTCATCAGAAATTGGTTAGTTACAGAGAAAAAAATATTTATTTAGAGAAGATTGAATCCAAATAGTGTCTAAATATTAACAGATGAAATGATAGCTTATTGATTAGCAACAAACATTTACTACTGAATTAAATCACTTTTACAATAGTATAAAAAATTTTTTTTTTCTATACATGTAATTGTCAAATATAATTTAAATAGCTATAAGACTCGACTAGCTCTATCTCCTTATTTAATAAAGCATAGATTACCATAACATTAAGCAGAAAATTTACTGTCATCATTTTTCCTAACTAGTAATCTTCATTTATATCCAAATAAAAGAAAGGGATTCTTACTGTTTATTTGGATTAATAATAATAAAAATCAATATAATCGAATAGTGAAACGTTGAACTTATAATGAAAACAAACCACTATTTATTCAGTAGTACTATATCTAATTCTAATATATATAGCTTATTATTTTAAAGAGATTCCTGAGTATTTTTATGTTACTAATTGACGACGAAATGTAAGATAATAAGACTACCTGATCAATACAGTCAGTATCCAGTGACATTTGTGAGTTTTTGTATTACTTCTAAGTTTTTCAATTATACAGAATATAGCTTACCATTGTATAGTCTACCTCGAAGTTAGTCACTGATGAGAATGGGACTTTAATTTTGTGAAGTTTTCAATACTTTGAAGACTATTATTATCATGAAATTACGTCATGGTGTTATATCCGGACGAGAATAAATGGGTGATAACCGTTAGGAATTATGTATGGACTAGTATCATACAAATATTCTTGTTGTATGACTATTAGGTAAATATAAGTTTAGGTGTTGTGGAGATTGTTAAGTTTTTGATTGAAATCATGAGTCATTTGAAGCTAGACCACCATGGAAAACCTGGAAGCACTGGACGGCCGTTTCGTCCCAGTATGGGACTCCTCAGCAGTGCGCATCCACTATCCCGCACCCCGCGAGATTCGAACCCAGGACCTATCGGTTTCGCGCCGGGCGCTCAACCAACCAAACCACTGAGCCGGCATCCAATGGTGACTAGCTTCGTGAGAAAATTCTCGGAGTTCTGGTGAGAAGCCGTGACCAGTGGAGCTAATCCGTGTCGGTTAGAAACAGGTGTCTACCTCAGTACAATGGATTGGTTGATGTTAGACATTAACACCACCGGATGCCGGCTCACTGGTCTAGTTGGTTAAGCGCCTGGCACGAGACTGACAGGTCCCGGGTCCGAGTCTCGTGATGTGTAGGATAGTGGATGCACACTGCCGAGGAGTCCCATACTAGGACGAAACAGCCGTCCAGTGCCTCCAGGTTTTCCGTGGTGGTCTAGCTTCAATTGACTCATGATTTCAATCGAAAATATATTATATGTATATTCATATTCCTTTCATCACAAGTTTTTTATTTGACCTATTGACTGTTATCATACGATTTACTATTCTTGAGATATTCCCAATTTATTAGTGGCAATCGCAGCCACTTTTGGCTTGATCTTGTACAAATATTTTCTATTTTATGGTGTAATGTGGTCTTATTTGTTTGGATATTAACTCAGTGTGTTTGAAATATATGATTCGTATCGCGGAGGCTGATATTGGCATTCTGGACTTAACAGATAGGGCTAGGCGGGAAAAGGGCCAATCGGAACTCTAAGCTGTCCGTACTGGTGCATACGTCATTAGTTTGGTCATATAAGTCAGCGTATCTAAATTTGGAAATCGTATTTTGAGATATCGTATAGTTAAGGACATAACAGTAGGATTGTTGATGAGTAAGCAGTTCCAAACTATGACAAAAACGCTACTCATTTATCTATGGATTTTATTCTCTATCTGACCTCCATATACAGCGTACACAAATTTTCACCAATCATCCACACATACCCATAATACTAAATACAAAAAATATTAAACTATAATGTATGGTCTAATGTTATGTATTGTATACTAAATAATCCATGGGAATATATCTGATAAGTATTGAATTTAGTTACTTAATTGTTATGTAATATATATTTACAAATGTTGCCAGTGAAACTGGTTTGTTTTTTTAGAATGACATTTATTTGAGATAAGATAATGCGCTAATCGTTTGAATTATTATAACATTGGAATTGGTTCCATTTGACATTCTTCTTTCATTTGTGGTCCTGTTATCCATTCATTCAACTAATTAAAATAGAAATGACAAATATGAAAAAGATTATTCAACAAAAATATCTATCATACATGTATTTTCAACAGAGTAATAACTATTTTACAGCATAATTATACGTACATATATATTTCAAAATCTGACTGGTTTCGTGACAGTTTGAATTGCTTTTTACATTGGCATTTTTAGTCAAATCTTACAATCAATTACTTTTAATTGAGATCATGAACCGATAGATGTTGGACCACCGTTGGAAACCTGGAAGCACTGAACGGCCGTTTCGTCCTATTGTGGGACTACACAGCAGTGTGCATCTACAATCCTGCTGGCGGGATTCGAATCCAGGGCCTTCGGTCTTGTGCGTGAACGCTTAACCTCTAGACCACTTAGCTGGCATCCAACAGTGTTAATGTTTAAGTTCAGCCAATCCACGAAATTCCACGACTATCTTCCATTGTACTGAGGTAGATACCTGTCTCTACCCGATACTGATTATCTCCATTGGTCACGGTTTCTCACTAGAATTCCGAGAATTCTCTCACGAAGCTAGTCACTAGTGAGCATATGGTAATTATCAATATAGGGTTGTGGAGATTATTAATTTTTTGATTGAGATCATAAATCTAACTGAAAATTAATTTATGAAGTAGATAAATTCAATGAATAGGAATCATCGCATTATATCAACTCATAATATTGTATCAAGATAAAAGTTTATTTGTTAAAATAATTCATAGCTCAAAAGTGGATTCTCAATATGAGTTCAATAGTAAATTTGTGAATAGTTTACCAATGTTTAGCTAATCAATAAAATGTATAACTACTATGCGTTGTCTCCATCTTATCTAAACTAGATCAATTTTAGTTAATCCAATGGAGTGAATACAATTCTTCCATAATTTATTGACAAGTTTTAGTTTAAATAAAGAATTATCCTAATCATTAGGTCACAGCGATAATTATTAGTGTAGATATAAAGCCTTCAGTAATAGGTTAATTCATAAATTGACTGTACTTGGGAATCGAAACTAGAGTGCACGTTTTTTTCTATTCTTGACTCGTAGTATCCTTTAGGTCAATAAAATAGCCAAAGTCATCCATAAATATTAGTAACAATAAAAGATATCAGCCGTTAGGGCTACTTTAAACAAATTATAGCAACTCAACAAGTTGGTGATCATACAAATTCCAATAGCTTAGTCTGTAACACTGACATTTGAAGTGGTGAGTACTGGGTCAAGTCTGACGTTGAGACTATATTGATAGATAACAAAGTTTATTACAAATAAAAACTAACTTTTTAGAATCATTCAAGTAAAAAATCGATCCTTCTTTATTTACTTGTCTGCGATTGGAAATCATTCAAATACTCTCTGCAGCTCATTCCTATACTAATTCAACAATTATACTGCTATACAGAAGGATAATGAGTTTTACAATCAAACAATCTACTTCACTGAACGTACGACGTACATAGAGACTGTCAAGAATAATCCTAATAAATAAAATCCTTTACTGCTGACGAAAGTTAAAGCAAACCTTTTAATCAGCAAATAAAACGAACAGTCGAATTCACAAGTCCATCTAAGCTAGACGACCACTGAAAATTTGGAAGCACTGGACGGTCGTTTCATCATAGTCTGAGACTCCTCAGTAGTGCGCATCCACGATCATTCATCAAATGGAATAGAACCCAAAACATTTGATATCGAGTGAGAACGCTTCAACTCTGAACCGGCATCCAACGGTGCTAATGTCTAACTTCAGTCAATCCACAATCTTGCTCAACCCTTTATCAACACTGTTGGATGCCAAACCAGTGGTCTAGAGTTAAAGTGTTTGCACTCCAGGCCAAATATCCTGGGTTCTAGTCCCTATAGAGTGAGACCGTCGATGCGCACTGATGAGGAGTCCCATACTAGAACGAAGTACCCATTCAATGCTCCCAGATTTTTAATAGTTGTCTAGCTTTGGCTATTGAATTCAACTGTTAAAATACTGCAATCTCCGTAAATCCCCATGATGGTAATAAAAATAAATTGATAGGAGCTGATTCAACATGAACTGATCTTATTTTGAAAGGATCTATACCAGGCATTCAGTAGTACTAACCGTCTTGCATGCCATGAAATCTTCCTCATTTCTATTCTATATGTGGGTTGGTAGGTGCGAAGTTGAGCAAAAAAAAGTTGTCAAGTTCCACTTGATTTTAAATGGCTTTCTAAATGATGTTAGTTTATTAGAAAATTTATTTATTTGTTTGTTTAAACACATAAAAATTGATAGAAGGAGGAACCAAGTAGATAAGCGCCACATAAATCATTCGATTTGTGTGTGGGCTGTGATACTGCCCGGGTGCCCAGATCGAAACAGGTGGTTTTCTTAAGGGACCACACCTCGAGCCTTTGACCTAAAGGTCTAACCCACAAGGCAGTAGAGCATCGTGAGGAGATGCAGTCCCATGGTAGACGGTGACCAACGATTGGTTCATACGCCACTTGTTCCCTCAGGATACTGGAGCCCATGTGCAACATTGATTTGGTTTGGAATCCGGTTAAAGCACCGGACATTCGCTTTTCGTCCTCTCATTTTCGTAAACAACACCCCCGCCACGAGAAGGCAGTGATTAGGACTTCCCTGACAGAGGCTGTATACGCGTGGCCATGTGAGAGCATTTCGAGAGGGAGAGCGAACTCCCCACTCTCGGTCATACCAGGGCATTTGGGGTAAAGATAAGGAACATATTTTTACTCAATATCCTATCTATTGCTAATGTTGTCTGCATACAAAGTAAAAGAAACATAATTATTTCTAAAAATGGATTAATTAATTAATAACTTACCGATTCAGTATAAAATCGATTACAACTGAAAGCATCTGGACTATAAGTGAATAAATTGTGTGGCATTATAAATATGGATAATGGTCCACCACTAGTAGCTGTATTTGGTAGGTCTTCATGTCTTGGCAAATGATAATTACCAACAGTTAACCACAAAACAAGATCCTGTCAATACAAACATGATCAAATATGAAAAATCTATATTCGTTTAAAATGTGTGCCTAACTAAATATACTATTGAAATTGATGGTAAGTAAAATGAGTAGTGTGCTAAAACATTTTCATGTTAAATATAAACAGAATATCTGATACTTCCATCGCGATGATTTGCTACCCAAACTCATATATGAGTAAATTGAAGATTGATCATACAGTTTAAGCGAACAGTTTAAGAGTTTAACGCTAACTATAAAATGTTCTGGAAGTCAAACTTCATCCTATCCTCAGTATTGTTGGAATCATGGATAATTTGTCCCAGTATGTTGATTATTGAATCAACATTAACTTAAAGGATATATTGAAGGCCTACTTTCTAAATCACTCACTTCATAAAAGTGGAATTTAGTAAATGTCTGGTGACTGTCACTCACGTTATCTTCGAAAGAAAAGAACAAGTTTTTTTGAAAGCAATCTTACCTTCAAGAGTCACTAACAATTATTGTGTATATTTAGTATGAAAATTCAACAACCCTAACGGAGATTTAACTTTGCTGCAGTTTTATCATTCTTATGTTTTCCACGAGTAAACAGTTCAATCTTATGAACTCCATCCGTAGCTCTTCTAGGGCTACTGCCGGTCCAAAGCCCGGGTAAAGGAGAAGGGTTGAGTATAGGGTCGGCAATCCCATTCCATAGAAAAAAACCTTGCTAAAAAACGCTAATCAGAATTAGCAATTTATCCATGTAAACTCTGCCCTCCGAGTTGAAGGAAGAATTATTACACCCATGATAAAAGCCGAGACCGATGCCTCTTCTAATAAACAGAGCAAACATTTTTATAGGTACATGGAACATTTGGACAATGTGAAAGATAGGGAGGATCAGTTAAATAGTAACGAAAATGAAGAGATACAAATTGGCAGCACTCGCAGTCAGTGAAACTTATTGAACCAAAGCTGGAAAGCAAAGGTTAGGTATGGGAGGGATGTTGCTGTACTCTGTTCACAAGGAGGAAAATGCTCCACACACTCAAGGAGTTGATCTAATGCTGTCCAAAGAATCACTAAATGCACTTATAGGCATGGAATGTCATGGATGGAGTATCATCAAAGCATCCTCCAAAACAAAAAAATGAGGGAATTAGAATGAATGTCATCCAATTTTATGCACGCACCAAGTAAAGCAATGAAGACGATAATGATCAATTTAATGAGAGGCTGCGATCGATCATAGAGAAGTAACCAGGAAAGAACCTGACAATCAAAATAAGAGATCTAGATGCCAAAGTCGGATTGGACAACATCGAGTATGAAGATATCACGGGACGACATGGACTGACTGGAAGAAAGGAGCGAAAATGAAGAGAGATTCGCAAATCTATGTACATCCAACAAATTAGTTATAGGCGGTACAATATTTCCACACAAACGCATACTCAAAGTTATGTGGGTCTCACCGGGCTACACCACGGAGAACCAGATAGATTGTATTTGTATCAGTAAAAGGCTCATACGGACAATGGAGGACGTGAGAACCAGGAGAGTAGATGACATAGCTTCAGGTCACCACCTGGTAGATTCCAAGATGAAACTAAAGTGAAAGAAACACTGAAAAGCTGAAAAAACAGCATTAAAAATGTCCAGTACAGCCCTCCTCCGAGATACTGACAAACTCAACGAATTCAAGATTACTCCAGACAACAGGTTCCATGCCTTACAAGATCTACTGAAAGAAGAAGGAACTACTATGGAGGACAGCTGGAAAGGGGTCAAAGAAGCACTAACGTCAACGTGTCAGGAGGTTCTAGGCCACAAGATGCATCATCATAAGGAATGAATCTCTATGGATCACTGGACAGGATTCAGGAAAGAAAGGTTAAACAGACAGCAACTAACAACAAACGAGCGATAGCAGATAAATTCAAGGCACAAGCTGAATATACACAAGCAAACAAGAAACTCAAAACAACTGTCAACCAATATCAAAGTGAGAATCTACAATACAAATGTCAAGACAGTTCTACTGTATGAAGCTGAAACTTGGAGAACTACTAAAGCTATCACAAAAAAGGTAAAAGCATTTTTTAACAATCGTCTACACAAAATGCAGAATTTCCGTTTGTCGGAACTCATCAGCGACAGCCTACTGTGGGTGAGAACAAACCAGCTTCCAGATGAGGAGAAAATCAAAAAAAGATGTTGGAAGTGGATGGACCACACATTATTGAAATCATCAGACTGCATAACGAGGAAAACACTGACTTGGAATCCTGAAGAGAAGAAAAGAGTAAGATCAAGGAATATATTGAGTCGGAATTAAGAGGCAGACATGAAAAAGATGAATAGCAACTGGAAAAAACTGGAAAGGATTATCCGGGACAGAGTTGAATGGAGAACCCTGGTGGTTGGTTCATGCTCCTCCATGAAGGATAACAGGGGTAAGTAATTAAGTAAGTATCATGCATTCTAACATCAGTGAGTAAAAATTTCCCACTTTTCCCACCAAATTTCCGACTAGTTGTATCATTTAAGTAAAAATCAAACAACCTAAAAAGTATTTATCCAGAAATAAAAATTTGAATCACAAGAAATTATTTAAAAATATTATCTGTCCACTTTATCTGCTAGCCTTAAATACAGTTAAACTAATCTGATCTTTACCAACGTACACGATGAATGAGGGATATATATATATATATAGGGAGAGTTTAGCTTATTCTGTTATCTCTCAAGAGTTAACTTATTTGTGTAATAAACTATAATTTTTAAGTTTCAATTTTTATCAGAAATTTTTATTACCACATATATTGATATTATTGACTACTGAAATTCATAGTCATAACAATTCACTAATCGCCTCTGTCTAATTCTCCTATTATTAACATGAATATTAAGTCTTAACTTTGAATGTAAAAAAAACTCGACGAAACTATAATTTACGGACGAAACAATCACGTATAAGATAACAAATCTCGAATTTTGGCGCGAAATTTTCTCATCTATTTGGATAAATAAAGTTTTGGCATTATAGCTTATGTTAGTTTGTGATAAAAACCCTAAATCTAATTCCTAAGCTTAATCGTCAACTGTAAATCGTCATTACAGTTCTTCACACCGGTTTATAACCCTCATTTAGCGTCGCTCAAAGGTCGTCCGTAAATTATAGTCTCACCGTTTTTTTTTAGAATACATCATATATATATACACAATATTTTGTATTTCACAATTCCTAATCAACTATTCAGATGATTGTTGATCAAGAGAGAATTTAGAAAAAATTGTACGAATACGCTGGAATTGAGGAAACTGTGTCTGAATACCATTTCAATGTTACTGATATCTGATTGAAAGATGAAAACAATTGAGCTATGATTATACAAATATATCATCAAGCTAGAATTATAAATAGGGAATCAATGATAAAATTTGAATCAACTTAATAGATGGAAAGCCTAACTTCTGATGACCTTCAGAGATATTTTGAATAAAGCTAAGAAAGCTATATTGTCAAAAAGGGAAGTATTATGTAATTATAGGATGGATATACCTTAAAATTTCATAAAATAAGATTTATCTGACCTCAGTCTGTGTATTTATTGAACGGAATAAGTATATTAAAAAAAAGATGAAGGCGTTAAAAGATAGTTCATCTAACCAGAATTAATAACTCCTTTTTCTTAGCCATTCGATCCATATAATTTTTGTTGTAACTTGAATCTATTAGAAATAGTTTACAATCACTATTACTTTTATTATAACATCCTCATTGTCTAGATAGTGTTTCAAATAATGGATCACACAACAACTTGATCATATAGACACTTTGTGTTTATTTACATATTTTCAGAAAGTGTAAAATCTCATTTTGGTTTGTCATTCAGTTAAAAGTAACTATTTCTACAGATAATGATAAACAAACATATGAAATAAAGATCTGTAGTATTGAATCCACTGATAAAGAACTTGCGTTCCTCAGAATCACGTTAGCTAAAAATAGATATCCAATTTACTTTATAGAGAATAACATGAAAGGCAGTTAGAGCGAAAAATTCGGTCACTCTGTTTCAATGAAATAACTTTACATGAATCTGGAATTTAAAGGTGACTAAACTTCTGATGTATTTAAAAGCAGATTAACGACAGCTATAAAAAGTTTGTTTTACATAGAAATGCTGTGACTAACGTTCGTTTTTAAAAACTTGTTTTCCGTATCCTTAAGAAATAAGTTCTATTGTTTGATCACCACTATGTACTGCTACCAGCTCATCTGCTGTTATGGAGCAAATTATATGAACCGTAGCCAGTGCCTGCTTGCAACTAGAATAAGGGAAGATGTCCCAAAGGATGAGAGGAACACGGTTAAGGTTTATATTCTTAAACATCTAATCGATTCAAATAACTCAACCGATCACCCTCTCTCTGCAATCATTTCTCATCTCCTGATGATTTTATTCATGAATGTTTCTGTTACCACCTCATTTAATTTTACCACCCTATTATATTTGATTATTGTAACAAAAACATTTTAATCATCTTACTTCATTCACATTATAATCCGTCGTCAACCTATTAATTTTCGAGGCTTTCTATTTGGACATACACAATTTATTGTTGTTATTACTTACAGTACATAATCTAGTGTTATAACTTTTCTGTTACATCATTACATTTATTATCAGTATAGGGTTGTGAAGATTATCAACTTTTTGATTGAGATCATGAACCGATTGATGTTAGACCACCATTGAAAACCTGGTGGTCTAACATCAATCGGTTCATGATCTCAACTAAAAAATTACATGTCCTCACAGAATTATTACTTAAATTTCATATTACATATATATTTGACTGTACAGCTTGATACTAAATTCGTTGAAAAGAGATCCTTTCGCTAAACATGGTGTTTTTACATTTCGATAATATAACTTTACCATTTTTGATATTTCCATTCCTCTTATTATATCTTAAGTAATTCAGTTGATTTCATCGGAAACTAAGAGTGGCTAAAGAATAACTTAATCTCATTTCATGAAGATATTTATTACTGATTTAAACAATATCGTTGAAGTTAGACTACATGGTTGTAGTCTATACCATAATTCTGAATAATAATGAAAAACGTCAAATGGTATGATGCAGAATCGATCAAAATAACTCGTAGACACTCAATTTAGCTTTATTATTGTCTCATGAATATATTTCTAAAACTGTAAATGTTCATTTTTTTTCGCAATATTGTTACTAAGTTATTTCGACTTATTTTCTATTCATCTTATCATTCTGTTATGTTATGACTCTACATTATTATCAGAATGGGTTTTGTGGAGATTTTTAGAAATTTCACAAGTTGAAATCATGAGCCAATTGAAGCTAGACTACTATGGAAAACCTGGAACCACTGGACAGCTGTTTCGTCCTAGTATGGGACTCCTCAGGAGTGCGCATCCACGAACCCGCCCCGCGGGATTCGAACCCAGGACCTACTGGCTTCGCACGCGAGCACTTAACCATTAGACCACTGAGCCGGCATCCAACTGTGTTAATGTTAACTTCAACCAATCCACGAAGTTATAACTGTATGTAAATTTTATTGAATACATCTCTCTCTACTACACAAAGAATTTCTATAGGATAAACTTCAGTTTTGAAGTGTAAATGATACATTGTCAATATATTTAATAAACTATTCATGTTATAGTTTAAACTAACTTCATTGAATATTGACTCATTATTTGAACTGAATTTTGTAAAATCAACAACTGGTGAACTTAAATCAACTCCATTGAATATTGATGATGCAAATGATTCATTATCATGTTGTTGAGTAACATAAAGTTGATGTCTAGGTATTTTAAAAAAAAATGTAGAAATTTGTTCCATTACAAATAAGCATGAATACTTTAGAATTCAAACTAATTTCACTAAAAGTATAATAAAATATGAGATCAAGTGACTTTAAAGGAATAGATTATACATGATTTACAATATGAATGGCTTCAGATAGACAATGAATAAAAATTATTTCTCTTTTGACAATTTTCTTTGTTCTAGTTTAAGATTCCACAGCAATATGTACACATGTTCCCAATAGAAAACGAATTCGGGAACTTGTGACCTTGTTACAAATTTGTTACTTTAATACATCTGAGTTAGGACTTAATGATCCAATTGTCTTGAAACAACATTTAAGAGTTCTGTGGTTGTTTAATTGAGTCCAGTCCATGATGTATAATATCGTTAAATTTAACAATCTTGACAAGTATCTTATCTTAATAATCAACAATAGTTAAACAAGGAATGTATCAACACATAGGAGCAATGTTAACTAATACAAAAGAACAATAAGAAAAGAACTGTGCAAAGACTTTTGCATTATAAATATGTACACGGATTTAGGATGAGATTTTAAATCATATTATCATGATATAGTTATGCAATGAGATCTATCTAGTATAATTAATCTTTTTCAAATAACTAGAAAATGTTTTTTAGTCATTTTAAATTTACACAAATAAAATAAATAAAATATAGAATTATAACTCTGTGATAGGGGCCCGAATGGCTCACTCGCTAGAAGTATATGACATACCGAAAACAACGTCACAGAGTAGGATAAGAAAATTGCCAGGATTGTTTGCTTGTTGCTGGGTTCCAAAGATCTTGGTAAGTAACAATGGTATTCAGTTTATGTCATCTGCTTTTAAACGGTTTTGCAGCGAAAATGGTATAAAGCATATACGGTCGAATAGCCAGGCAGAAAGATTCGCGAATACGATAAAAAGAGCTCTGATTAAAGGGGCAGGAGAGGATATTTCAAAACAAGTGGTCATTAAATGCTTAATGTCCTACAGAGTTACCCCTAATCTGGTAGTGCCAGAAGGAAATTCACCAGCTAAGTGTATGTTCGGAATGAGAATTCCAACTGCCTTTCACAGTATGTTTCCGCCCAGTAAGACAACTAAATGCACGAACAAGTATTGGACGATAACTTGCAGCTCCCAGGAGGGTGAAAGGGTGCTTGTGAAGTCGTATCAAGGTGATACGAAGTGGGAACCAGGGGCTATAGAAGGTCGGGTTGGAAATGTACTGTACTTAGATAGGAGAAATGTCGAGACATGCATTAGACATATAAATCAAATTCAAAGGGATGGCAGAATATTGGCCACACAAAGCTGACTCCCGTTTCAAATGCCCGTGGAACCCAGTCAAAGAAACCCTAAGGAGAACGAATGTATAAGATATAAAAGACTATAGGGCAAAGTGGCACGAACTTAAAGAGTGATAGATCTCAAGAGGAATGCGTTAACCAAGTTTAAAGTGGACCGGAGGAAAAAGCCTTACAGAACAAACTTTAAAGAGGAGAGGTGTGAGGGCAGTACGGATGGCCCATTGGTGACATCATTGAAGCTAGGTGACATCAGGTCGAATCCGTTAGGAACAATCAATTCCCCAAACTCAACCAACGTTTTTTATACCTAAGAACATGTTAAACTAAGATATGTTAATAAATCTTTAAAAACATGGATGTTTATACGTTTTCTGGCACAATAAATCATCTAATTTGTGACAAAATAATCCGCACACGCGTCCTATAAATTTTTATGTTTACATGACGACTCAAAATTTGCCTCTTAATCAAGTTGGTTCTTGAGGTACTAGTGTTTTTTTTTAATTAGTAATTCGAAAGCTATGAATATCAGTTCCGAGTCAACGAAAACGTCTTGTCAATCCTTTTATACTACCTCCGATAAGTTAGAGTATTACATTACTTTTGGTAACAGTGAAGAATTATGCCCCTGACACAGTCAAAGAGTTATTCACCAACTGTTTACTTCAATTATGCAATAATAAACGTTTGTATGATTGTACTCAATTCCTTTGTTTCATTGTAAAATAATAATATTAATTTATCAATATAGAATAAATAATCACCTGGACCAAGCAAATGATTTTGTATATTTATCACTGAAAATTGTTTTAACTTGACCCTTATTGATAATTGATAAACATTTATCATTTTTATAATATTGACTTGTTTTATTTAAATCATTGATATTTGAATTTGTTGAACAGATTAAATATTGTTTAGGAAATTCAAATTTTGTTGAAAATCTTGCTTCCATTTCAGTTTTAGGAATATCTATAGATAACCATAATAGTTCAGAATGATTTAACTGATTATTTGTTTGTTGTAAACTATCGGTATTCATTTGATTCTCTGTTAATGGTCCATGTATTTTGACTACTTTAATAAAATTCTCCTTATTCACAATATCTATATCAATTTTATAATGAAATAAATGATGATGTATAACCATATAAATTGGATTGATTACAGCTGGAAAACCATATTTTGAATTATATTGATAAGGATTTAATTCTACATCAACATGTATGTAACCAGTTGGTGTTACTGAAAATTCAATAACACCAGATGAATAGAAAATTATATCGAATATATAATCATAATTGAATAATGTTGATATTGTACGTACAACTAATGAATAACTTGTTATACCAAGACCAAAATTTGTATATTTTGCTTCACCTTTTTCACCAAAATGATCACTAATATGAAATTCAAAATGTCGTCTAACTGGACCATTATGAGGATTAGTTTTCCATTCAAATAAACAAATACCATTTTTTATAAATTTAGGACCAGTTTCACCTGAATCAATCAATCTCACTGGTAAGTAGATAGCATCTTTTGGACAGTCCAAACCTGGACTTAGTTCTGAAGTCATACCGCCTATTCCAAACATTGATTCCAACGATGTCATTGCTTGCATAAATGGGGATTTACCCCAGTATGACGTTACTGTTTCCTCTAAACCAGCTTCAGATATCAAACTAACATTTGCAAAGTATACATTAAACACTCTAAGTCCTGTATCTCTTCTAACAGTTACATGAAAATCCCATCTGTCATATTGTATTCGACGTTTCTTAACGTGAATTAAGTTGTCTTTACGATTAGTTGTTTGAGAATTACTTTTCATGAATCGATTGTTATGTGTTGTAGATTGCTGACTGGGACCCGGCTTTAATTGGTTATGATACATATCTACAAACTGATGCTTGATCACTTTAAGTTCACCAGAATGATATTTACTTAAAAGTTCTTCAATCGATGTGAACATCTGACCTTGAAACCAAATACCCAATAAATCCCACTCATCTGGATCCAATGATGTTTGATCAATCTGTACATAAAAGTATTTAAAGGAAAAATATAGTTATGTTTATTATACAGATTTCAGGATTCTATTATTCTAAGTTATATACATATAATTGATATATGTACTTGAAACCATATTCCTACGAAGAATTGCTATTCAACAAACTGTATTCCAGGTCTTTCAGTTCAAAGCGTTATTGACCCTCGAAGAATTTGAGTAAAGGTCTTTAAAAAAATTTCAGTTTTCCGGCTTTTTGCATTTACTATATTTATACGAGCTACCGTCTAATTAGAGTAGAATTCTATCACTGAAGATTATATTCGTCTATTAACTGTATTCATCATTAGTTTAGAAAGGCGATAAACTAATTATATCAATATGAACTAGAAGACTTATTAAACATGGAATACTTTGCTTAGGATAAATAAATCAAAACTTTATATCTACAGCAAAAGCGTTGATATACTATTAGTGATACATTTGGAAATTGTTAGATTTCTTTGAAATCATGAATGGATCTAGGCCAGACCGCCATTGAAAAACTGGGAGCACTGAATGGTCGTTTCGTCATAGTCTGAAACTCCTCAGCAGTGCGCACCTAAGGACTGAGGACTTAACGCTTTAAAAAGCGAATTGCTCGAAACTATAACTGAACTATACTATAACTTCTTAAAGTGAAGAATTAAAAGTTAATATACGTTGATCATCGGTTCTGTTTTTTGGAAACATTTAACCATAATAACAAAAGTGTTATTTAATTACTGAAAACGACTGTATGGTATACGCAAATCAAATTGAAAGTGTGATCCGTTGAAGGATGATCGCCGCTATTAAAAACATAAGAAAAACATGATGGATATGTTTTCGGGAGACTTACGGACTCTCACTTTATATTCTGCTAACTCGGTTTTTTCCTTGTTCTCCAACAAGTTTACAGGGCACTGTTTAACCATCAGATAAACACTAGTATCAATAAGAAAGGCGATTTCTAGTAAGTGAACATGATTCTATTTATATGTGTGAACTTGCAAAAGAATTTGACGAAAAAAACAGAATTATTTCTCAAAAAACGAAATATGCTTTCACATGGTTGGATCATCGAAAATCCGAAAGTTCTGTACAGTTGTTTTCTATTAGTTTTAAGCTACTCAATAAGCTTTATTTATATGCATATTAAATTCGAAGCCAAAAACTTCTGATTTAATGGTGATCAACTTACTTTTAAACCACTTATTCGGAATCCGGTGGCTAACATTTCAAACTTCCCATAATATCGTTTATTACTCATATTGAAGTTAGTCAGCAATAAGAACACAATTTGTTTAGCTTTACTGGTTAACTTCCTTACTGCAAGTAATGAAGGTCTTGAGTTCATTTTTGTTTAGAATCGTACGTGCTTATTTCTAAACTCTGTTAAACCAAAATGAAATAAATTGATATTCTTATGTGTTTGATAGTTCTTCAAATGATGACAAACTTAACTTGACAAATCCCGCCAACATTTTAAACGTTCATAATATAAGAAATGAGTCAACATTTTGTTTCATGATTATTGTTAAATATATTTATTTATTTATCCTACTGTAAGAATAGTTCATTGAATCTTCATGTGGTAATTGTGAATTGATGACTCCAATGAGAAAAAGGGTAAAGTCATAAACTACTAATAACTACTTATTTTTTGATTGATATCATGGGTAAATTGAAGCTAGACCACCATGGAAACCTAGAAGCACTTGACGGCTGTTTCGTCCTAGTATGGGACTCCTCAGCAGTGCGCTTCTACGATCCCGAACCCCGCGAGATTCGAACCTAGGACTTATCAGTCTCGCGCCAAGCGCTTGATCAACTAGACCACTGAGCCGGCATCCGACGGTGTTAATGTCTAACTTCAACCAATCCACGAAATCGCGCAACCATCTTCCATTGTACTGAGGTAGACACCTATCTCTACCCGACACGGATTAGCTCCATTGGTCATGGGTTCTCACCAGAACTCCGAGAATTTTCTTACAAAGCCAGTCACTAGTGAGCACATGGTAATTATCAGTTTAGGGATTGTGAAGTTACCAAGTTTTTGATTGAGATCATGAACCGATTGAGGTTAGACCAGTAGGAGTCCCATACTAGGACGAAACGGCCGTCCAGTGCTTCCAGGTTTCCCATGGTGGTCTAGCTTCAATTGTTCATGATTTCAATCAAAAACTTAACAATCTTCACAACCCCTAAATTGATAACTACTTATTTATTTGGCAGTAGCATCAATAAATACTTTATCACACTAATTTTAGAGTTGGCATACTGGTTATAACCTATAATCTAAGGAGAAATTAGCACCCTGTGCTACTAACATTATATATATATATATATATATATATATACAAGTAGTGTAAATAAAACTTACATGAAATTGAATATCTACAGGATATTGTATAAATGGAATAACTTCTCTGCATAATCTTATCCATATACGACGTCTTTCTGGTGCTTCAAGTGTAATCAATGGTGAAGCAAATATTGGTATTAAACAATTTGGTCTTCCTTTAATATTTTTATTATTATTATAAATTAATTGTTGACATAATGAATTTGTATTATTTAATTGTTTGTATTTATATAACCAATAAGGATTCAATGGTTTATTCATAAAATAACTTGCTGAATAGGTTTCTTCAATAATCATATTTATACGATTTATTTGAATCGTTAAATAATCTAATAAAATTTTATATTCAATATTCAATAATGGTCTTTTATAATATGGATATATATTTAAAAGTTTAATTATTTTTGGTTTATTTAATGGACCAATATAATATTCTTTAATTTTAGGAATTTTTAATGAACCAAATAAGATAATTACAATGCCGTATCTTTCCAATGGAGTTAATTCACCATTATTATTATTATTATTATTATTATTATTATTATAGTAGTAGTAGTAGTAGTAGTAGTATTGTTATATAATGTATGAAAATAATTGAAACGTTCTGTCTTATTAGGAATGTATAAATTTAAACTTAATAAATAATTCATTTTAAGTTGTTCAAACCATGTTTTATTATTGAATAATTGATTATCAGTAGTATATTTATTAAATGCATAAAATGAATTAAATTTTAATTTTAAAAAATTGACAACATTTTCATATTCTTCTTCATTTGGTTCATCAAATAGGCCAAAATCTAAATTTATATTATTATTATTATTATTACTATAATTTTGTTTTAATGTATGATTTTCAATTTGATTTATTGTTTTAATGAATATATTCATATGTGAATCATTTGTATTTGTATAATTATTGAACAATGAATTGATTGTATATGATGAGCATAAAGTTGAATGAGATGAATTTGAGCAATGATTTGATTTTGATGAGATTATATTATTTTGTATATAAGTAGTATTTTTATTAATTAGATGATTTGTATTGCAATGAATTAAATTATAGCATAGAAAATATATTGCTGGAAATATAATACAAATAACAATCAATAATAGTAAGATTATCCTGTAAAAGAAATGAAACATTTTGTTTGTAATTTAGAGAAATATATGCTTATTAGAAATATTAAATTCATGTAAAAATAATATTTACTCAATTAAAAAAGAGTACAAACTAAATGAAGAGATTATAAAGAACGATGGATGGTAGCTAGCAGTGGGATCTAAGAATCGTGTTTCGTTCTATTTCTGATAAGATATGTCTACTGAAGTCAATGTTTCCATAATTTAAAATATATAAAGTTTTACTGAGGTTATGATTGATTAGTAGTAGTTCAGATACGTAAATTATTAGGAAGACTAAATTATATGTAAAACATAGATGGATAGTGGCTAGTAGTGGAATCCAGGACGCGCGTTTTGTCCTGTTTGGGACTCGTCAGCTGGATCTCGAACTCAGTGCCGTCCGCTTCAAACGCCATCGCGTTATCCACTCAGCTACTGAGTCCTGATAGCCACTTGCTTGTGCAATGTGGTGAAGTTTAATTCACTTGGTATTGTTTTACTTGCACATATGCCAATAAGAGACTGATCAATTTCAGTCCTAAAACATCAATAGGAAGATTCAAGTAAAACAATACCAAGTGAATATATGTAAAACGCTCGTACGGGATCTAAGTGTTTGTTTTTAAACAGGTATTTGATGATAATGAATTAAAACTTAAAGGTACGTGTTCTTTTTATAGAAATTTCCCCAGTTATTTGAACTACTATAACTGAATTAGTTACTTCTAAGCATTTCGTCCTAGACAGGACTCGCTAACTGAATATACTTACACTTAAGTGTTTGATGTTTATGTCGAGACACATCCATTTCAAATGATCCACTGAGTTATCGAATCCAGACAACCACTGCTTTGTGTAGTGGAGATAAATTTTATTGCATTTGTACATATGAAACGGATTACTTATGATTATTTAAAAGAAAGTAGTAGAATAACTTATATAAGCGAACAATATTGTTTTTAATTACATATTTATCTGACTCTACCCCAATATACAGCAATATGTAAGTATTTTGACATATCAATATGAAAAATATTAAATCAATCAAGATAATCTACAACTCAGTGATAACAATGAAAACGGATTATGTAACTATATGTGAAAATTATATTTGAAATAATCTCAGCGATTGAAATTTAAATCATTCCAACGTTTCGTCCAGCTAACTTATCTGGACTTCTTCAGGGTAATGATCAAAATCAAAATCATCAAAGAAATATATATATATATATATACCCTGAAGAAGTCCAGACAAGTTAGCTAGACGAAACGTTGGAATTATTTAAATTTCAGTCGCTGAGATTGTTTCAAATATATATTTCACATATAATGACTTCTTTGTACTCGGCGCCCAAGTTCTGTCAAACTATTCGTTTTAATCTTGACAAATATTCGTATAGATTATGTAACTGTTTATAATTCAATAAAAGTACAAATTGACAATGAGGTGATATGTATCATAGTAAATATATGAATAATAAACACCATGATAACATGAACAAATATACTGATATAGGTTAAAGCTTTAAAAAGAATAAATTTATCAATAGAATAATCACTAAAATTACGCAATGAAAATTTCTATATGAATAATCAAATTAAACAATGTAAGGAGTAAAGAGGTGATACGTAAAGTTGGGTGGGGGACTATAGATAAATACATCTGTAATCGACTAGTAGATTTAATTGTGAAAACCCTGTAGAATAATTTATTAACTATTATTCAACCAAGGAAGAGTTAAGAGATGTTACTCATTTGACCTACTTTCTATGTCAATACGTTTGTTTATATTATCATGTTGTTTATTATTCATTTATTTGCTACTATACTTATCACCTCATTATCGATTTGTACTTTTTGTTTATTATAACTAGCGATAGAATCCATTTGGTATTGTTTATTTGAATCTTTCATTTGATGTTCAGGACTGTAATTGATCAGTCTCTTATTGGCGTATGTGTATCCTGTCCGGATAACCTTGATATTTCCTTAATTCACATGCATTATAAGTAAAGATGGATGGTGGCTAGCAGTGGAATACAGAACTCGCGTTTTTTTCCTAATTTGGACTCGTCAGCTGAATGTACCGGATTGAACATCAACTCTGGGATGAAGGTACACCCGGCTGACGAGTCCTAAATAGAATGAAATGCGCATCCTTGATTTCACTGCTAGCCACCATCCATTTTAACCATAGAATCCGTTATCATTGAGTTGCAAATTATCCCGATCGGTCTAATATTTCCCATACATGTGTATACATATGTATTGCTGTATATTACGGTAAAGCATGATCGCTATCTCTTTACAAAAAATATAGTTCACTTGTATATATTATTCTGATTTACACTATCAGAATTTCTAATATACCTGTCATATATCAACACAGTATTAGATGAATAATCCCTTACGATTCCCGATATTCCAATTCATTATATTCTGTATATTCATTGATCCTACTGCCATAATTTATGAATCATAAATAAACTAATGTATTAATCTGCTACTTGATAATAACCAGTGTTACAGTTTATAACCGGTATCGACTCATTTCATCCAGAGGTTACATTGTATTTTCGATTGATAAATCTTAACTATCATGGAAAGGACATGTTATATGTGAATTTATGTTTCTAAACTATTCACCTATTTACAATCCCTAATGGTTTCATAATAAACTTTATTTCTTTTAACTAGTGGCTAAAAATAATAATAAGTTAATGGAAAAATCTTAAGATTGACATTTACATTCTATGTCTCCAAGGTATTCACAAAATACTTTCTTTTTTCACAGATTGAACTCATGAGTCAGTTGAAGCTAGACCACCATTAAAACCTGGAAGCACTGGACGGCCGTTTCGTCCTAGTATGGGACTCCTCAGCAGTAAATATTCTTTACTTTAAGAAAAAACAACGACAAAAAAATAATCAATAAAATAGTTCTTCGCTTTTGAATGTTTTCATAAGAATTTAGATTTAGTTTTTGTTATAGTTAAAAGAAGATTTTGGAAGCTTCAGTTATTTCATTTAGTCTTAAAGATCATCTAAGAATGTCAATGAAATTGCTTTACAACATCACTGATTACATACGATTTAAACCTATATATATATATATATATATATATAATATATATATAATTATATATATATATATATATATATATATATATATATATATATATATATATATACTTCAACATAGATACTAA